TCTCTGTCTCTCTCTCAAAGCTTCGTACTTGCTAGGCTGGTGCTATACTACTTGAGCCACACTGACAGCTCAGCATTCTCACTTTCTAAAATGTATTTCCTTGGTCTCATCAACCTACGTGGCCTTGTTAATCACCTAAAACATCATCAGAAAAATTTGGGCATTAGCAAAGATAACAGGGAACAGGATCCCAGGGAGAGAAAGTTCTGGAAAATCACCTTGTCCCAGGTAGAAAACATCTTCTGTGTAACATAGCACGGTCATGTGTAGGAGGACCCAGCCCATATCCTAGTACTTTCGGTTCTTCATGTTCCTCCACCTCTAACCTCCCTGCCCAACCACCTGCCCTCTCAGTCATATCCAAGGCCTGCTGAAGGCTGGGCTCAAATATTCAAAGGTTCTCAACTGCAAACTTCAAATTTCTTTGATGCATATTTAATGTATTGGATTCAACCTTTATAGTTGTTTTCATAATTCATTGTGTTTTAGTCCTTTAGATTTATCTCTATCATATTCTCTACAATGGCTATTTCAGATTCCATTTCATGCATCTCATCCTTCTTTGTTAGCAAATGATGATGTGACACCTTTCTCTCCTTTCCTCACCTAAAAGGGGAAATGCAGAAATTTCATTTTTGCCCCCAAGCTAAGAAACTGAAGTATTTATTCACTTGTCTCTTCCTCTTTCCTCCTGATTGATAGAAAGGCTGCCCTCCCTGGTTTGAGTCTGGCTCACCCACCTCACTGTAGGAACTACCTCTTCCTCCTCATTCTCAGTGACCTCACAGGATTGTCTTTTCTCTCATAGCCATCTTTACCTTCTTTCACTCCAGGTCTCATTCATTAATTTATAACTGACCCGCTCTCAAAGGCAAAACTACCCTCTGTTCATCCTACCTAGGCTCTATCTCCCCTTGGAGCCACAGTCAAACTGGGAGCTCCCCACAGTTGGCTTGCACCTTCTTGGCACTCCTACCATTGTGATCAATGACCTTCCCTGTCCTTGTCAAATCAGAACTTTTGTCATTCTGGAGACCATCATCCCTGCCTTCAAACACAACTTTTTAATACTTGACTTTTCTGGACCTTCCCAGCTTTTCTTCCATCCTAATCTGCACCCTAATCACATGGCATGCACCTAGTTGTTGCCACTAGACACTTCCGGCTGTAGCTGTGTGTTTACAATGACCTTCTCTTAAGCCAGAAAATAAAATATTCAAGGAACATGTGTATATGGCCAATATCCCAACAAACACTTCAGATATCAGCTGAACTAAATTTTTGTAATGTAAATTTTTATAAATGTTTTGTTGAACTAAATATGAAATTAAAATATATTTGGAAAGACATAGAAATAATAGTAAAGATATGGTAATCCTCTGGGAAAAGAAAACAAAACAAATTGGGTCATTGAAAACATGTTCCAGGGGCTGGGAAGGTGGCTCAGTGGTAGAGCGCTTGCCTTGCATGCATGAGGCCCTGGGTTCGATTCCTCAGCACCACATAAGCAAAAAGAAAAAAGCCAGAAGTGGCGCTGTGGCTCAAGGGGTAGAGCGCTAGCCTTGAGCTGAAGAGCTGAGGGACAGCGCCCAGACCCAGAGTTCAGGCCCCACGACTGGACCCAAAAAATAAATAAATAAATAAAACATGTTCCAGAAATCAATTTTGCCCAAGAGCAGAGACCTTCAAGTATGTAGGACATTTGGATGTGTCTGTCAGGTAGGGTTTTGGAGTTGCCTCTCCTTTACCTGTCTTTACAGTGTGCTCAAAACCATCTAGCATGCTTACTATGTCCTCTTCGTATTCTTCAATCTATGATATTTCTTCATTCTTTCCTTGTATCTTCAAGAAAGAAGTAAATGCCAGTCAATTGTTTTGTGTAACACCTCCCAGACTAAGAATGGTGTTTCCAGAGGTTGTATATTTTGAGGTGAGAGAATCACAAAGTGATTGTGCATCCTCTCTGTGTCGCTTTGGGGAGTGCATCAGATGATGTTGATATGTTTTGTTTTTTAACATTTACCTTAAAATTTTTCATTTCACCCTCCCAGATATTTCCATTATAATTGTAATTTCCAGTTCCATCTTTGTAATTGGTTTTTAAAAAATCTTATGAAAATATTTTGTGACTATGCCAACTATGCTAAATACCTTGTTTCTTCTCAATTCTTCAACTACTAATTTTTGCATCCATCAGTGGATCTTGTCCAGACATTATCATGGCATTTGCATAATGGTAATTCTGCAATTGTCATTTTCTTTACATATACTAGTTGGAGTATGATTCTATAAGAAAAGCTGTTTCTCTGGCTCTATTTTTCATCAGGACAGGTCACATTTATTGTATCCTATGAGTTATTTCCAACACTATCAACCTAGGCAGAAACGTCCACTAGCCTCCATTTCTAAATAATTCTTGGAATTATTTAGCTCAAGTTGTAGAGCAATTGCCAAACAAGCCATAGAAACTCAAGGCCCTATTCAAACCCCAACACCACCTAAAGGAAAAAGAAAGAAAACACATTGGAATGGAGAATGTAAGTAATAGCTTATTTTACATTAAAATATTACATGTATGATTTGTATTTTAAATATAGATCTATATTTTCCAGTTTTCCAAAATGAGTATCACTTTCATATCCAGGAAAGAAACAAAACCTAAAAAGCATGCCTAAAATAAAATTTAGAGGTAAGGATGATTTACTAAAAATGTCCAATCAGAAATAAAGCACCCAGGCCCAGAGTTCAAGGCCCACGACCAACAAAAAAAAAAAGAAAAGAAAAGAAAGAAAGAAAAAAAAGAAATAAAGCAAATACCTCTCAACCTGCCTGTTCTCCTCCAGATAGCTGTCTAGCTATAGACTAATATACCATATTATACCTAAAAGAATGACCTTTAAATTCTTGGGACTCTGTCCATTGAGGACATGTGTGGATTGACCTATCACAGCCATACTGTTCATCTTTATCTCATTTGTTTAGAATGTTGTTGACTCTTCATTATAAATAGGTATAGTTTTTTCTTTTTTTAAATTTATGATCCTTCCTTGATAGGATGCCATAACTCACACTACTTATTTTGAGATTCTCAGCTGGTGTTACTCTCCCCATTTTAGGGATAAAAATACCCCTAGAGATTGAGTAGATACTCTCTTCACTTCTGCTGGGTTCCTCTACACTGCAGGATTTGTTTGCCACCTAAGACATTATCTTCTCAGTCATAAACTCCATGAGATTAGCCTTCATCCTGTTCCCCCCTGAATTCCCAGGGCTAGCTCAGTACCTGATGGTTACTTGACACTTAGTAGATGATCAATAAATAGCTTCAGAATGTTCACTGAGTGTTGTAAGCAAGACTCTTCCAGAAAAAACCTGAGTAGCTAGGATTATAGGCTCGAGCCGCCAGCATCTGACTATAATGCAGTTTTTTGTTTTGTTTTGTTTTGTTTTTGGGTCTGGTCGTGGGGCCTGAACTCTGAGCCTGGGCACTGTCCCTCAGCTCTTCAGCTCAACGCTAGTGCTCTACCACTTGAGCCACAGCACCACTTCCAGCTTTTTTCTTTTTGCTTATGTGGTGCTAAGGAATCGAACCCAGGGCCTCATGCATGCAAGGCAAGCACTCTACCACTGAGCCACCTTCCCAGCCCTATAATGGGTTTTTATATAGTAAAAATGGTTTAGTCTTTTTCTATTATGCCATTTAGGTTCTAGTTGTTAATTGCCTGTAGTTATGGTATCTTAAAAGAGAAGCTAGACTAACAAAGTTAAATCAACATAATTCACAAGAGGGTCTTCATTTCAAAGGAGGATCTGGTGTGTTAATTAGCCTATCAACAGCTCTATGCACCTAGAACTGTTGTAGATGTCTGTGTATAGAAATAATGTTATTTTAAACAGAGCTTCCACACTGAAGTTCCACTTCCTAACCTTATGAAAATCTTGCAATCATAGAAATTCAGAGAGAGAGAGAAAGAGAGAATGTGTGTGTGTGTGAAGGGAGGAAGGAAGAAAAGAGGGAGAAAGGGAGGGAGGGAAGGAAAGAAGAGTTGGGCATAGTGGCTAAAGCCTGAAAATCCTAGGTACTTGGGAAGTAGAGACGAGATGATCATAGTTTGAAGCTAGCCAAGCAAAAAAGAAAACAAATCTTCAAGAGACTTCATCTCAACTAGTCAGGCACAGTAGCACATACCTGTCTTCCTAAGCTATCTGGGAAGCATAATGGCTGAGTGGGGTGGCATAGCCATCACCTCAGCATTGTGGGGAAGTACAAATAGAAGGACTGAGGTCTAGACTTGTCTGGGCATAAAGCAAGACACTAGCCAAAACATAACCCTGCATGCAAAAAGGAACTGGTGGAATGGCTCAAGTAGTAGAGCACTTGCCTAGCAAGGCTTTTAAGTTCAAACTCCAGTATTGTGAGAATAAAATACTACTAAAGTATTCAAAATTACTAAACCCCACAACACTACTAAAGAAGCTCAAAATCTCATCTCACATAACCTAATACGGCATCTTTGGACTTCATATTTCTCTTCCTTATAAACATTTTGTTGCTAAGGAAGGATTATGTGGTTATATTAATTTGGTCAAGAACTGTAGACCAGACCTTAATTTATTCCCAATGATCTGTGATAGCCAGCAACATTATCACTTTACCTATAAATAGAACTGAATTAAACAGAAGTCTCCTAGTTTCAACTGCTTTTGACTTTGTGGATCAGAATGTTCTTTGTCAGGTGATGAGATGCTGGGAGGAACATTCTCAGGTAAAGAAAATCTGGTATTTTCTCTTTAGAACTATGGTAAGGAACATAAAAAAGAAAAGCATGCTATTCTGTAAATCTCTGTAGTTCCAGTATCAGTCAGCACTGAGCAAAAGTTTATCTCCTGTGTGTGTGTGTGTGTGTGTGTGTGTGTGTGTGTGTGTGTGTGTGTGTATGTGTGTGTGTACATGTGTGTTCATGTAAAATGTGTAAAAGTGAAACTTTTCTTCTTAACAGGTGTCCTTGTAGACCTGGGACTGGAGGAAAATGGAACAGCTCATCAGAGAGCAGAGAAATATGTTGTTCGTCTGGACAATGAGATTCAAAGCAAGTTTGACGTTTTTATGAGGAGGGTGAAACAGAACCCGTACACACTGTTTGTACTAGTTCATGACAACTCCCATGTGGAGCTAACGAGGTGATTGCTTCCGTGTGAGCAAACACTGTGTTTCTTCTATAGGAGTAGTTGTTACTTACTAAGGAAATCCTTTAGAGCAGTGATGTGAAGGTTGGGGAACCTTACATTTGGCATCTGCCTCCTGGTAACTTTTTCTTAATCTTTCCTTGTGCCTGCACTTCCTCTTCCTTGTTAATTTTTAAAATTATACTCTGGGACATTTAGAAACTTCTGTTGAAACTATGGCCTTTCAGAGCATCGTGGAACTCACTTGCTTCAGAGGGCTCCAGAAGGAAAACATGCTTCCTGCTTTCCTCCCTAGCTCTCCTTTTTTCTTCACTTCTCCTTTTTCCTGGCCTTTATCTCTTCCCTTTGACCTTTAACAGCAAAAGAAATGCCACTTTAATGGTCTGAGAACACATCTGAAACCTTCCCTCCTTCCCTAGTTTTCCAGTTTAAACAAACAAACAAAACCCCCATTTTTTCCATGGACTTATTAATGAAAGAACCATATATTGGTATAAGGAGGCCAGTTTTACTCCCTGACAAAATTGTAATTATCTGGTAAGGGCTATCTTTGTTCTTATGAACCAAAAGGAAAATCATTTTTTAAAGGAGAGTAGCAAATACCCACTGAGCTTGACATGTAGTGGAAATTTAGGGCATCCTTGCGCATTTGCAGATTTTCCTTTCTTCGAAGTTAGGGATGAACTGGAACTTTTTTGGACTTAATAGAAATGTCAGGATGACAGAAACACCTATTTAGAAGCTAAAATGTGTTTGATACTCTTCAATTTAAAATCTAGAAGTAGATTAAGAAGGACCTTTCATAACTTGTTAGATTTAAAAGGAATATTAAATAAAAAGAAGAGAGGGAGAAACAGAAAGCAGGGAATGTTTTTGCATATGTCTGTCTTAGTGTTCTATGAGTAGAAACAGCTTGGTGACTTTACATGCCTCTTCTTTGGTATTGCTGAGAATGTACACTGGATGTCTTTGTATAATCAAGATTATTCTTAGCTGGGCACTGGTAGCTCACACCGATAATCTTAGCTACTCAGGATGCTGAGATCTGAGGATCATAGTCTAAAGCCAGCTTTGGACAGGAAAGTCTGTGAGCCTCTTATCTCTAATTAACCAGCAAAAAGACAGAAGTAGAAATGTGACTCAAGTGGTAGCAAAAAAGCCTTAAGAAAAAAAGTTAAGTACCAGCATACACACAACAACAAGGATTCCTTTTTTTTTTTTTTTTATTTTTGAGTCTTTATGACATCCTTGTCTATCTGAACTGGGCAGAGCAGAAATAAAGCTTCAGAAATATAAGTCTTGGTACAGTCATAGAAGGGGGAGGTCTCCCTCATCCCAGTCTAGAATCCAATACAGGAAGGAGCCTTCCTTTGTGCTGGGGAGCCTTGGAACACTGTGAAGACATAGGTCTACTCATCACATTTTCATCAGAAGCTCCCTCTCTCATTTGAACTTTCAAAGTAAAGCAATTCATGTTAACTACATGTTAACTTCATGTTAAACTTCATGTTAACTATATGTTAAATTCATGTTAAGTGCTTGTCCTTTGAGGTAGATCAGAACAAACTGAAAAGGGGGGTTGGAGGAGGAACAATCCTTGAAATCTGTCAAAAAAAAGTGTTAAGAAGGAAGGTAAAGATTTGCCTTCCAAATTATATTTTTTGTTTGGTTTTTGAGATGACTTCTCAGTGTGTTACCCAGACTTGGTCTTGAACTCCAAGCTCCCAGGTGCTAGGATCATAGGCATACCTCATGTTTGGCTCCCACATCACATTTTGATTTTTATCTTCTCTCCATTTTGAAGAGCTAGAAAAATAAGAACTTAAACATCTCTGTGTTGGCGTAGGTTTCTGCATCCAATCAATGAAATGAGGAGGTATTAATATGACCTTCACTGTTTCCACAGTGTCATTTCAGGCACTCTGTCCCATGGTGAACCCAGTCATGGGTTGGCAGATAGAGTCATTAATTGCAGAGAAGTTCTGGAAGCTTTCAACCTCCTGGTGCTCCAGGTTAGCTCCTTTCCATACACACTACAGACCCAGCAGTCCCGAATCAGCTCCAGCAACGAAGTTCACTGGATACAGCTGGACACTGTGGTGAGTCTCCCAATCAATCCTGTACTCAGTGCCCCTGAGGGCAGAACTTGAAACTAAATATGATCAGAAATAAGTATGAGAGCTAAAATAAAAATAAGCCCCAGAGTTTAAAAAAAATCAAACTAATGCTTCATCCTCAGAAAGTTACATATGATCACAATTATTTTTTAGTTTTGAAATGAAGATGATGCCTTTAATTGGAAAAAATAAGTATAGAGGAAGCTTGACCTGTGAAGGGCGGATGGGACTGCCTTGGAGTAGTTCCACGCACTCGCATAGCACAGGAGAGGCTGCATAGGACCGTAGCTTATCACTAAGGAATCTTTTTCAAATATGACTGAATTGAATAGGACTGATATCGGAAGCAGCGTGTGTGGATAAAATTGCAGAAGTTAGTCTGAGTTTGGTAACTTTTTTTCAATTTGATATTACTGGAGCTTGAAATCAGGTGTTCACACCTGCTAGGTAGATGTTCTACAGCCTGAGCCATGCCTCTAGCTCTCATCACTTATATTTTAAAGAGTGGCCCTATAAACTTCCATTACAAAATCAGTGACATTGAAAACTTACAGCTCCACTTGAATGCAAGCATGACAGATTGAGGAACTAGTCACTTCTAATTTTTCAGCTGTTCTCATTCTCCAGACCCTCCAGGCTCTACCTGATCACAAAACATCACTTAACCATCTGCCTTATAGTTTTGCCAAAAGGGTGTGTTTATGGGTGGAAATAAGGACAGATAGATACATCCTACCTAGAAAATTACAATGCAGCATCAGGAAAAGGAACAGGTGCAGAGAAAGAGTTGATTTTAAAAAAAAAACGGTCAGGATGAGAAGGAGAGATAATTCTTTTCCATGTGACTGTGCCTATAGTCCATATGAGGAAGGAAACAGAGATGTACAACTCTTGTTCCTGAAATGACTCAAAACTGCACCAGATACACTCTGTAGGAAATAAACAAGGTTTAAAAGCTCAGTGTGTACTCTAAGTCTCCAGAATCTGTAAGAACATCCTCTAGTCTTCTTGTAAAATCTACTTACTCTAAAGTAATACCCAATTCCAACAAGCAGGATTATCTGGTTTGGGGCCACAAAAATTAAAAGCTGTTAGTTAGTGTTTTATATGTACCCTGTAAATCACAGTTCTGTAGATGGGTTGCTGAAAAATCTCGGGACCAAATGTATAGCCCATTTCCAACAAAGTCTTTCAAAACAACTGGCATGCTGTTCCTTCTTTGTTTGTCTGTTGTGGGGCTTGAACTCAGGGCCTGAGTGCTGTCCCTGAGCCTCTTGGTGTTCTAGGCCAGCATTATACCACTTTGAACCACGGCACCACTTCCAGTTTTTGAGTGGTTAATTGAAGATAAGAGTCTCATGGAGACTTTTCTGCCTTTGAACCATGATCCTCAGATCTCAGCCTCCTGAGCAGCTAGGATTACAGGCATGATCCACTGGTGCCTAATTCTGACATGCATTTTTAAAAATTATCTTTAAGTAGTTGTAGAGAGGTTTTCAATTCAACATGCCAATTTATGAGTACAGTACACCTTGGTAAGTGTCACCCTTCCATCATTTTCCCCTCTGTCCGTCCAACTGCTCAAGTTACCTACTTCCATTTCCACTTACATACATTGAGCTTTTTTGTTTTTGTTTTTGTTTTGTTTTGTTTTTTTTAGTCATGGGGCTTGAACTCTGAGCCTGGGCACTGTCCCTACACTCTTCAGCTCAAGGCAAGTGCTCCACCACTTGAACCACAGTACCACTTCTGGTTTTCTGGTGGTTAATTGAAGATAAGAGTCTCACAGACTTTCTTGCCTGGGCTGACTTTGAACCGTGATCCTTAGATCTCAGCCTCCTGAGTAGCTAGGATAACAGGCGTGAGCCACCAGCGCCCAGCTACATTGAGTATTACTATAGTTGTCTTTGCTCCCCATTCTGGCATACATTTCTGGGGGTACTGATCTTATTCCTGATGCAGTCTTACTTCTTTTATCCTTGCTTTTTTCCTTCCTGATTGCCTTATTTGTTTTTGTATTCTTGGTCTTTTAAAAGCTGCCTTATTTTTCCTTTGTAAAATAAATGGGAGAATGAGACTAAAATTCATGAACAACATGACAAGAAAATATGACTGAAATATTAATACAAGCTGGATATGGTGAGTGCATGCCCAAATCTCAGCTACTCAGGAGTAAAGGACAGACAGGAAGATCTCTATTTGATGCCAACCTGGGCCAAGTTAAAGACCTATCTGAAAAACAAACAAAAAGTAAAGTGTGCTGGAGGCATGGCTCATGGCTCAAATGAGTGCCTGCTTACCACTCAGGGTGAGACCCTAAGTTCATCCCATTACTTCAAAAGAGAAAGAAATAAGAGATGTAGAGGAAGAGGAGGAAAGGAGAGAGGGAGGGAGAGAGAGAGAAGGAGGGAAGAGGAAAGCTAGAAGGAGGGAAGGAAGGGGAAGGGAGGGAGGAGAAGGAAGAGGGAAGGAGGAAAAAGAGAAGGAAGGAAGGGAAAGAGAATGGAGAGAAATGAAGGAGAGAGAAAGAGAAAGAAAAAAAGAAAGAAAAGGAAGGAGAGAAAAATACCGGGAAAAGAGGGAAGGGGAGAAAAAAATGTAAAAAGAAAAACTATCAGCAACAACAAAACTAAAGCTAGATGCATGAGATATGAAAGCTTATTTAATATTCTGGGGCTTCTTCCTACTTTAAGGACAAGCAGCTTGTCCCATGTCTCAGGATCCTCTGAGGACACCCTTGGGTCATTTCCCAAAATAGCAGCTTATTTTTGTAGCAATGACTAAGTCATCATGAAAGGGGAAGGGCCAATGCTGTGTATTCCATGAAAGAGGGCAGAAAGGGTACACATTTTTTGGGGGGGAGGGGTCTTGAACTCTGGGCCTGGGCACTGTCCCTCATCTCTTCAGCTCAAAGCAAGCACTCTATTACTTGAGCCACAGCGCCACTTCCACTTTTCTGGTGGTTTATTGCAGATAAGAGTCTCATGGATTTTTCTGCCTGGGCTGGCTTTGAACCAGGATCCTCAGATCTCAGGCTCTTGAGTAGCTAGGATTATAGGCGTGAGCTACCAGCACTCGGCCACATTACATTTTTAACCTAATTTTTGAAATGATGAACTTCTATGAGTTATGTCATTGAATGATGTTAGAAAAGTTGAAACAGGAGATTTAGAGTTTTCAGAGTTCTGTGGATATCAAACATATCCAAATAGAGTGCTGCTTCCAGTAGGGAAAGATTAGGAGTTAGAAGCCATCTGTCCAGGTCTGTCTAAACCAAAACCAAAAAGAGAAAAGAAGGAAAACAAATCATCCCTGTAGTTATAATTTGCCTACAGAGTTTGTCAACACTCTGCTAATTACATATAAAGTTCAATCAAAGTGAAGAGAGATGATTCAGATTTGGTATTAGGTCACATAACAAAACACAGTTTTTCTTTTACCTCCCAGGAAATAACCTCTTCATGCCTACCCCTTCACCCTGCCCCACCCCACACCCATAAAAACCACAACACACAGTATCCTGTCTTTATTGGGGATTTGCCCTGTGTTTTCAATCAGGAGGATGTGGGCTGTGAGGAGAAGCTGTACTTCGGCTTGAACGAGTACAGCAAGTCTCTGCAGTGGGGGGTCACCAGCCCACTTTTGAGATGCGACGAGACCTTTGAGAAGATGGTGAACACACTCTTGGAGAGGTAAGGACTTCTGCCCTTTGCTTTCGTTGTACTTGCAGATTGAAAATAGCCAAATGCTTTTCTGTTCACATCATAGCAAGTTTGATAGAGCCCATGCAGATGACATGCAAAGCCAAATATAAATAGCTTTTTCCTAAGATGACCTTCTACTCCCATGAGTTTTCTATGACTATCCCAGCCCAACAAAGGAAAACACTGACCTACAGTAAAATGGAACACCACTTTTTAAAAAGAGACCTCTATCAAGAGACAGAAGGAAGTTAAGGAGCAATCAAAGCAGCTAAACATGTTCAGTTCTCGGCACCTTTTCTCTAGTCCCTGACCTTGAGGGCTGAAGATCAGAATTCTTCTGTCTTTTATCAGGTCTAACTTTGAAACTTTTTTTTTCATTTCTGACCCTGAATCATAGACTCTTGAGTATGTAAAGCCTTTTATCTAACAGTGTCCCATCCTACCTTCTGCCCTAGTACTATTTGATCATCAACTATGGCCAATAAGGCTTTAGGCTGAGTTTTGGTGCTTCATGCCTGTAATCCTAGCTACTTTGCAGGCTGAGGATCACAGTTCAAAGCCAGCCAGGACAGGAAATTCTGTGAGATTCTAATCTTCAATTAACCACCCAAAAGCTGAAAGTGGAGCTGTGGCTCTAGCCCTGAGCACAAAAGCTCAGGGACAGTGCCCAGTCCCTGAGTTCAAGCCAAGAAAAGGAGAGAAGAAGAGAGAGGAGGGGAGAGAGAGAGAGAGAGAGACCCTGATTCCAATCACGGGTCAGCTATTTAATAATCTGCTCTATAATTTTGGTAAGAAACAAGGGAAATAAAAATGAGGACAAGTAGATGTATTTCACCCAGCAAGTTGTAATGCTGCCTCAGGAAAAAGGAGAAGCTCAGAGAAGGAGCTCATATTCTACAGCTGTTGGGGATGAGAAAACTGACACTATGACATTAATCCTTCTACAAAACATGTGATCTTAAATTTCCAAAATCATCCATGAGTCTCTCCTTTAAAAGTTTCCCACCTTGGGGCTGGGAAGGTGGCTCAGTGGTAGAGCACTTGCTTTGCATGCTCAAGGCCCTGGGTTCAATTCCTCAGCACCACATAAGCAAAAAGAAAAAAGCTGGAAGTGGCGCTGTGGCTCAAGTGGTAGAGCGCTAGCCTTGAGTTGAAGAGCTGAGGGACAGCACCCAGGCCCAGAGTTCAGGCCCCACGACCGGACCCAAAAAAAAAAAAGTTTCCCACCTTGGAGGGAATCAATGGGAGGGAATGGAGAAAAGAGACAGTATGGGAGGGGGAGTTGATGTAAGAGAGAGAGAGAGAGAGAGTGTGTGTGTGTGTGTGTGTAAACACATACATATAGATAGATAGATAGAGAGAGAGAGAGAGAGAGAGAGAGAGAGAGAGACCCACTAAACTGTCAAACAAACTGTTTGAAAGGAGGAAAATAGAACAGGGGTGAACGTATTCAGAGCAAACTATACACATCTTGGAATTATCACAACAAAGCCCTCTTTTACTATTAATGTATATTAACTCAAAATACCACTTTTACCCATTTGATCTGCCAGCTTAGGATGCCTCTTTATTCCCCATAACATCAGAATTTTATAGCTTGGGGCTGGGAATGTGGCTTAGTGGTAGAGTGCTTGCCTAGCATGCATGAAGCCCTGGGTTCAATTCCTCAGGACCACATGAACAGGAAACGCCAGAAGTGGCGCTGTGGCTCAAGTGGTAGAGTGTTAGCCTTGAATAAAAGAAACTCAGGGACAGTGTCCAGGCCCTGAATTCAATCCCCAGGACTGGCAAAAAATATATATAGCTTGTGTTTTAAGGAACTATCTCCTAAACTTCTGTTATAAGTTTTGTAATGATTAGAAATCTGTAGTTTAATGCAAACAGAGCAGGGAAACAATTCACTTGAAAAAAAGAAACATAATGCTCTGAGGGTGTGAAATGTAAATGCCTATATTTTAATGTTTTCTTTTATTCTAACTTCAGTTTTTCTACACAAACATAGATCATCCATGCTTCTTCAACATAGTGTTCCTAGGCTAATAATAGCTATGATTTATTGAGCAGCTGGAAGGACCAGCCCAGGATTAGTGAAACCAAGGCTTTCTTCACTTTGCTCCAACCTACTAAAACTTTACAGTATGTGAGGACATTATAGAGACCTAAATAAAATGAGACCCAGTTCCGTAGCTGTCTGTTTGTATGATCTGGGACAAGTAGCTAAATTTCTCATAGCTTCTTATAAGTTACACAAAGGCAGTGGTGGCTGGAATACAAGTTACCTCTATTCCTTTGCCCTCAAAAGTCTTCAAAACCATGTAGTGTTGATGCCTCTGCCAGGCCTTTGACCCTGAGCTTTACTGTGCAAGGCTGGTGGTGGGAGGGAGGGCTTGTGGTATTCTACATAGAATTACAAAGTGACACAAGGGTGACATTCCCCACTAGCTACCCACTGTTGGGTCACACTTCTCCTGGCTGGCATCCAGAAAAAAAATGTCTTCACTCAGCCTTACCTTTTCAGAGTTTAGGAACTTCTCAGCCAACCCTGGGCCTGGCATCTATCTTCTTGGCTAGTCCCTATCTCTTCATGCTGTAAGTGGGGCCTCTGTACCTATTTGCACTTACCAGGTCATCAGGCCTAACTTCCTCAGAAAGAGCATCTACATGGGTGGTTTCTCTTTTACCTGCTCTGTAATGGTAAAACTTCCGACAAGAGCAAAACAGTCCCTTTACCTAGAAGTCCAGCAAGGGGAGAATAATGCCGCTTCCAGACTCAGATTTGCTCCTCTCCCTTGAGCAAGGAGGGTTCTGAGTAATAAGAGGCTACACCACCAGGGGGTGCTCTTTTCCCAGTCAGCTTCAATTTATTTTTTCACATCACTTTTTATAGAGGACAGTTACTGCTGTCTGTGGGACTGACCTCAAACCAGTAACACCTGTTATGCTTAATACTTCACGGATACCACAATAATGTCTTCATTTTCTTTACTGTAAACCTACATGTCATAAGGCCATGATACTGCCATTCTCATCCAATGGCACCAAGTAGAGGTTAGGATCCAGGGACCATCCAGCTTGACGCCATCAACTGTTAACCTTGGGGAAGGAGGATGGAAGGGGTAACATTGATGGAGATGAATTGTACTCATAATCTGACTCGTTGAATTGAAATTCCTTTATACAACTACAAAACATGTAACAAATAACCTACCTGGACCAGCATGCCTCTGAATTTAATGTGCATCGAGTTACCTGAGGGCCCCTAGTCAGCTATAGACCCTAGTTCAGCCATGTAGGGGGAAGCTCTGGTAGTGCTAGCAAGCTCTCCAGTGCTGCTGGCCTGCAGACCACACTTTGAAAAGTGAAGCCCAGCTGACCACCCCTAAACCTTTTACATGTGCTTCAGCTGGCCCAACAGGCTTTGACAATGAAACTTCTCCTAGTGATGTGGGACCCCAGGTCTTCCTGAAGCTAACCCCCTCTCTCCCCCCCACCCAATGGTTCATCTGATTTCCACTGCACAAGCCTTGCTGTTCCAGCCGGGCCTGCCTGTGGCTGAGTGCGGCTCCCCGTGTTCTGTTGAAGGTACCCCAGATTGCACAGCATGGTCGTCCGCTGCTATCTTCTCATCCAGCAGTACTCGGAGGCCCTGATGGCTCTCACCACCATGGCGTCGCTCCGAGACCACAGCACACCTGAAACGCTCAGCATTATAGATGACCTCATCAGCTCCCCAGGAAAAACCAAGAGTGGGAGGGGCCACATGCTCATCATAAGGGTGCCCTCGGTGCAGCTGGCCATGCTGGCCAAGGAGCGGCTGCAGGAGGTGCGCGACAAGCTGGGTCTGCAGTACCGCTTCGAGATCATCCTGGGGAACCCCGCCTCCGAACTCAACGTGGCCACTCACTTTGTGGCACGATTAAAGGTTAGTAGCCGTCAGATGTTTCTCTTCCAGAATGCCGTTTGCTTCTGTTTTCTAGGAACATGCAGTCTTCAGGGACATACGTTCTTAAGTGGAGCTGGCTTCTAGAAATTCTGTGGAGCCCCGTAGCTAGCCCCCTCCCTCTTTGCCATCCATGCTCCCCAGCGGCAGTGCATAAAATACAATGACCCAACCTGACACTATATTCCTTGACCTTGGAGATGCATCTTGACCTTGGAGATGCATCTAGACCCTGGCCCTGTTGTCTCAGGAAAATTTTGTAAAAGGTAAGATCTCTCAGACATGTGTGGGGTATCCCTTTGAGTATCCTCAACTCACTAATTGTTTTCTGTCCATCCAGCCCATCTGTCAGCCCGTGGCTAGTCGGTAAAGTATTCCGTTTCATCTTCACTTCTCACCTAGAGCGACTCCTAGCATGTGGACTCCCCCCAACTATTTGTTGGTTTCTTTCTACTTGCTTTGACTCTCAGCCCCCGGCTTTGGCTGGACTGACTTTGCCGGCTCTGGTACAGAGGGACTAAGTGCATGCCAAGTCCCTCACTGCCCCCTCTGCTCAGCCAGGGACTCTGCTTGTCCGCTACCCCTCCTGCCAGGCACCGATCAACTCACCTAACTCCCTACCTTATGCCTGGCTTAGGGTTTTTCTGGGACTTTTATAATCTACTTGTCCTAGCCATTAAAAGACACGTACTCGAATACCCACATTCATATGGGTATGTTACCAAGCTGGCTCCTGTATGGCTCAGTGAGGCTAATGGAAACTCCACATTCTGCACACACTAAATCCTACGCTAAATTGGGCTAAGAAAAATCTAGCTTGGCACAAACTTAATGGATAGACATCTCAGGCAGAATCTTGTGGAAATCACATTTCACCCTGGGCTGTAGTTTCCCATCTGTAGAATGCAGGAGTTGGATTATATGACTTCCAAGAACTCTGTTTTAACATTCATAAATTCCTTGGCAAACATAAACCTTTTTATTAGCTAACCTAAACAGAATCTAAAATCCAGACAAATATCTCATATTTGCTTGGAGTTAAGCAACTAGAAGACACAAAATTGTTCAAAAGTGCCAATTCCTGTATTTAGTGGAAATTGTAACATGTATATTTCAGATATAGGAATATGTTTACCCTTTTAAGATAATGGTCATAAGCAGCATTGTCTGAATTCCTGGGATAAATAATAAAACTCCAAAAACCCCTTCTCACAGTGTAAATCATTGGGACACAGAGCAAATAAATGAGTGTAATGAAGAATTTTGAAAAGCAGATAATCTCCCGCCTGTTCAAGGTGCTATAATGAAGGTGAGGCTCCAGGCTGGTTCTCCATTGACCTCGATTAAGTATGAGGTCATTTGTTTAGAAAGGCCAGGCACTAAGTATGAATCAGTGTGTTGTAAATAATGAGCCATTGTTTGAAAAATATTATTGAAGCTGTTTTTTACCTGACTGGCAGTGTATCAGAATCACCAGCAGGGCCTTCAAAGGACAATTAGAGAAAGAGTTTGCCATGTCCAAGGGGGACCTGAAGTTGCCTCTCAACACAGTTGTATCCCCCTCCATTTTGTGGATAGTTGCTGGGCACCAATCAAATAAAACAGCCTCATATTCTCAAAATGATTGGATCATGTCTATACTCTGAACTCTGTGTGAAATATGAAATGTTATTAGGACATTCACACCAAAGCATGACTATCTCTTGCTAAGTAATTCTGGTTGCTTTTTTCTGTATTATTGACCATCTTTACCATTCTCAGGATGGCACATTTGCCTATTATCTGCATTGCTGGTTAAAAAAACAAACACTGCTTCCTCTTATGATCTCAGTTTTGTGTTTTTCCATCCCTACCTGGTTAGGTAGTATGGTTAACCTATAAGTATGACAAACACTTTGTCAGGACACAGATTCAAATATAAATAAATCAGTGGCTCCAAGAGGCAGGTGAAGCTTTCAAAAGATTTCAGTCGTCTTGAGACTTGTCTTATCCTGAAACTTGTCTTTCTGGTTGTCTTAAAGACCTTTGGAATAAAATCATCCTGAAGCCACAGTAGCAATATGATAGGAAGCATTGTCTAGTATATCTGGCTAACTCATATTGGTCAAGAATAAAATTGGAAAAAAAGGGGTGGAGGATGAAAGTGAAGTGTACTGAAAATAAATCTCTTTGTATAGCAACACATACCTGTGATCCTGTCATAAAACCCAACCTTAATACATTGGGTAGAATCATGGTGGTCTCTGGAAGATTGATACCCACTGGGTTTCAAAAGCATGGATCCAATGTGAAGGTCATAGGCAAAATGTTCCAGAATTACTTTCTTTAAGTCAAGTAATAGGTAGATCCCTTTAACAAGAAATGGTTTAGAAAACAGATTTTCTCAATAGAAAAGTTAAAAAAAAAAAAAAAAAACTTTCTGGAAGATTGGATTTTCTAAGGCCCCATATCTCAGACATAGCTAAAATTGTATTTTTTTCTTCATTGGCTCTTTTTTTCCTTTAAAAATTTATTTTGAGACAGTGTCTTGTTCTATAGCCCAAGCTGGCCTCAAATTCAAGATCCTCCTGCCTGGCCTTCTAGTGTTGAATAATAGGTGCACCACAGTGCCCAGCTTTCAGTGAGTCTTTTCTAAGTATCAGCACATCTTTTCTAAATAGCAGCAAATAATAATGAAACTCTGTTATCTTTTGTTATATAGGTTTCTTCTTGTCACATTTTGTGCTTATGGAAGAATACTCTTCTATTTGAAATAAACCTAATTCTTGGGTATTAACACCTCTTCGCTCCCCAAAGCATGGTTAGAAGTGTTAGTTCATTTCTACATGGCAACTCCTGCTACAAAGCTGACATAAAGTATAATTAGATGCTATGCCTATAATAAGTAGAAAGTACCTTATCCACTTGAGATGGTCTATTTTTTCCTGTTCTAAAATAGAAAAAAAAAACCTGTATTATCTCTTTAGATTTGAATGTCTTTCAAGTTGATGGTGTTTTGTTCTACTCATGCTCATATTTTCACAATTGATGTTCCATTTATTAAAGTATGCTCCTGTATACCTGCATTAATATAATGAGAAATTGGTGCTTAATACTATTTTTTTTGCAGTGCCAGTACTAGGGCTTGAACTTGGGGCCTGGGTGCTGTCTCATAGCTGTTTTGCTCAAGGCTGGTATTCTGCCACTTGAGCTATATAGCTCCATTTCTGGTTTGGGGGTGGTTAATTGGAGCTAATAGTCTTATGGACTTTGCTGCCTAGACTGGCTTTGAACTGTGATCCTCAGATCTCAGCCCCTTGAGTAGCTAAGATTACAGACATGAGCTACCACTCTCTAGTGGTGCTTCATACTTTATGAAGCCATAAGAAAACTGAAAACTGAACCACTTTCTAGTAAGGGCAAGCTGTTGGTTTTGTTTCCTTTCCCTTGATTCAGGCTATATTCCTTGTATGAGACTCTTTGGAGGCCTTAAGTCAATAATCATTTGTCACTTAGACTTAGGACTAAGTAAATAAGTTGCAAGAAGGAAAGAAAGAACCATCAGAACTGGCTGACTTCTTCACTTTCTTGGTGAACATGTCTTTGTTGATAGAGTCCTTTTTGGTTCTGTTCTTGATCATTTACAACTGAAAGTTTTCTTAAAAATCATTTAATACCAAAGTTTGCCAGTGATACAAAAAGAGTACATTTGAGTGCCTTGCGCCAGCTGGCTACTAGCTGGAAACGCTGTGAAGTTTGCATCACTGGCCGCATGTTCCACATTGTTTCTTTGGCCTGCGGGGCTAATGCATGAAGACTACTAAGATCTCCTATTTTATTCTATTGAGACAAAACCAAAAGGCCACATTCTCAGAAATGCTTTGCAAATGCTTTTTTTATAGCAGCAAATTAAAATCTATTCCATTAGAGAAAGGTATCAGGAAGCACAGGGTGTTTGAAATCTATGCCTAGAAACCTTTGAAAAGGTATAAATGAGAATTAGGAGTTTCAGAGTTTGAACTTCTTCCTTTTGATCCTTTGTACAGACGTGGAGAGGAAATGAGCCAGAAGAATGGATCCCTCGGACGTATCAAGATTTAGAAGGTCTGCCTTGCATAGTAATATTAACCGGCAAAGACCCTCTGGGGGAAACCTTTCCCAGGTACCGTATGAATAACTGATTCCATTTGGAGTTAGCTGCCCAGCTGAACTCTTTCAGCTTTTCAGAGAGCACCTAGTGGTTCTGGGAGTAAAACAGGTCAAATGTGTGTGTGTGTGGGGGGGGGGGGGGGAATGGTTGTGTATAAGAAGGCTGGTAGCCAGAGAACAAGAAGAAAAGCAGAAGCTAACAGGAGAGAGAGAGACAGACCAGAGACAGAGATAGAAATATAGATTTTTGTTTTGGATAAAATGCTTTGTTAATCTGCTATCACTAAATCTCTCAAGGATCTCCCACAGACTGAAACACAGCAACAATAAAAGCATCAATTGAGTGCTTTTGCATGTGTGCCAGGGCATGCCCTAAATGCTCCCCATGCATCAGCATCAGCATCAAGCCTTGTACTGACTGGGCAAGCCAGCTGTGCTGTCTTCTCTTAAATCAGATTTTTTCATTTTTATTTTGTCTTCGCTGCCAGGACTGAATCTAGGGTCTCACACAAACTAATGAAGCCCTCTACCACTAAGCTATGCCCCTTAGCCCCTGGCATATCTACTTTATACTTGAAAGAAAGTAAAACAGAAAAATTAAGGCTGATGGTTGGTAGACACAGAGCTGAGATGTAAATCAGGCTTAGCTGGCAATAAAGCCGTGGTCCTCACTGCCTCATAACCCACAATGCCCTCCAGACAAGCGGAAACCCCATGTGCCCCAGCAGAGGGACTGGCCACCAAAAGAGTTACTTCTGTGCAGGTCTTTGAAGTACTGCGACCTCCGGTTAATCGACTCGAGCTATTTAACTCGCACGGCTTTGGAACAGGAGGTGGGTCTGGCATGCTGCTATGTCTCAAAAGAGGTCATCCGGGGACCCACTGCTGCCTTGGACCTCAGTGGGAAAGAGCCAGAGCGGGCCCCAGCCAGTGAGAATGACTCCGAGGAGCTGCTCATCGACCTGGAGAGGCCGCAGAGCAACAGCAGCGCTGTCACTGGAACCTCCGGTCAGTACTCCTCCTCCTCCTCCTATCACAGGAGCTTGGGTCAGTCCTCTCTCCTTCACAGGAGGAGTGGGAGGAAGTAGGTGGGAGTCTGGAAGGCAGAGCCAGCTACTGACCCAACACTATAGCTTCTCCAGACTACAGTTCCTGGGAGGGACGCAAGCAGAATAGCAGAACAGTCACAGCCTCTGTCTCTGGGAAACACTTGACCAAGTTTGGTAATAGGTTAAAGACAATAAGTCGATCTCATCAATTGCAGCCTGCATCACATTTCCTAGTGATTCCCACCTTTATCTCTGCATGGTGGCTCTACAGCTCATATTTATACACGTGCCCCCTTTTTCTGAAGCTGTAGGTTTGTGTCAAGTGGCTCGGTACCTGCACAGAGCTTTGAATGAATGAATGACTTTGGTACTTAGTGGCAAGTGTTTGTAGCCCACAGCTGCTCTGGGGCCACTGCTCTGGTGGGCAGTGGAGATCCACCAGGCAGCCTCCCACTCAAAGCGTATGTCTTATGCCAGGGCCTGGAGTTTTCTTCTGGTAAATTGCACTAGAGCAAAATATAGCTTTTGCTGATTATGAAAGTCATAAAACATTTTGGAAAACTTGAAGAAGGTATCAAAGTACAAGAATTAAAGCAAAACATAATCCAACCACCAGAGATAATCACTATTATTATTGATAATCACCATTATATGTGTTCTGCCTCCTTCCCTTTTTATCTGCACTATCACTGAGATCATTTTGTCACTCTGACACACACACACACACACACATACACACACACACACACATTTTGTGTTCAAAGTGTGTTGCTCTTCCTCCTCTTCATTCTGCTAGCAGCTGTTAGATGGCTCCTTGTGGGAACTGAAGAGGCTGTTGCCGGTGGGGTCTCTACAGTCATGACCCTAATTCTTAAGGGTCATGAGGCACTACCCCATCCTCTGTCCACAGTTCTCCTAGGTGTGTCCAGCTACTCTCCCTCAGCAGAGATCAGGGGGTAATCCTGTATTTCTCTACCTCCCTCAACCCACTACTATCTAGAAGTTCCCCAACTTTCCCTCAAAGCTAGCTCAATACAGTTGGAGGATAGAAATGGAGGGAGGAGGCTGGGAAGGTGGCTTAGTGGTAGAGTGCTTCCCTAGCATTCATTACTCAGTACCACATACACAGAAAAAGCCAGAAGTGGCACTGTGACTCAAGTGATAGAGTGCTAGCCTTAAGCAAAAGAAGCTCAGAAACAGTGCCCAGGTCCTGAGTTCAAGCCCCAGGATTGGCAAAAAAGGGAAGGAAGAAGGAAGGAAAGAAGGAAGGGGGGCTGGGAAGGTGGCTCAGTGGTAGAGCGCTTGCCTTGCATGCTCAAGGCCCTGGGTTCGATTCCTCAGCACCACATAAGAAAAAAGCCGGAAGTGGCGCTGTGGCTCAAGTGGTAGAGCACTAGCCTTGAGCTGAAGAGCTGAGGGACAGCGCCCAGGCCCAGAGTTCAGGCCCCACGACCGGACCCAAAAAAAAAAGAAGGAAGGAAGGAAGGAAGGGAAAAAAGAAATAGGAGGTAGGGAATATTGCATCTAGGAACACTGGAATACATACCAGGAGGGAAAAGATGGGGGGCAGGAGGAAGTCTGTCTCTTGGGGCGGGATCTGTGTTTCACTCCTCCTTTCCCTTCAATGCCCCTGCTTTGGCTAGTGTTCTGATCAGCTCACAGAAGGTAACAGTTTGCCCTTTGCTGTGTAGTTTCCTACCTCTTGGGCCATGATCACAACACTGAGTGTTCTAGACCTTAGCCATGGGCTTCCACTGAGTGTGGTTCAGAGTTGCTTGGCTTTAATCACCACCAGTTAACACTACTGTCAGGATCTCCCAAGGCTGGGATTTGAGCTGCGTGCCTCCTGTGTTCCAAGTGGGCCCTCGGTATAAGGAGCTTTAGGGTTGTCCTCAAACCAAATAGAAGCTTCTCTAAGGGAAAGGTACACTTAAAGTGAACTGGCCAAATCTGCAGGCATGGCCCTAGAGGCATGTACCTCCTCATCTAGAAGCTCTACCTGATGTCTCTCCTTTTCTTTTTCCACGGAGACATGGATGCCTTAGAGTGGGAAGTAGCTGCAGTATCAGCAATATCTCTGCAGCCAGAGGGGTGAAGTCCTCAGTTCTACCTCCACCAAAGGCAGCCAATGCCCCGTAGGGGACTTGAACACAGCACCTGTACCCATCTGGGCCTGGTGGGGCTGGGATGGCATCTCCTGGAGGATTTGAGGAGAGTACAGTAAAGGGACTATTGCCAAAGAAGCCGGGCAGCATCAGGAAAGTGACATGGTGTCTGGTCTGGTTAGGAGCCCTGCAGGCCACTAGCTGCTGCTCTGCGGTGGAAGGTGGTCACGTGGGAAGGAAGAATCAGCTTTCTACTGGGGTCTCCCATTGGCCAAACCCACAGAGAAGTCAGGGTAAAAACCGGAATGGAGGGTGTAGAGACCAAGGCAAAGATGACTTTGCCCTTACATTTTGCAAAGGTGAAACAAATACAACAATTACAGTTCAGTGGCTCCTAAAGCAGCTACTAGTCAGGCTCAAGGACCCATTGTTCCATGATCTCGGGTAAGTTGGGGTTCATTGCAGCTGCCACCGGCTCTGTCGTTTGTCTGCTTGTTGACGTCTTCCTCCGTTGAGTGGGTCCCTTTGGAAATGCAGATTTCCAGCTTGTATTGTGTGTGCTGTTCCGGCTGGCTTTCCTGGCCTCGCCTCCCTTCCTTGGCGCTGGACGGGGCAGGCCGGGGTGAGCTCTGTCCATCCTTTCTCAGGGTCCATCATGGAGAATGGAGTGAGCTCCTCCAGCACAGCCGACAAGCCCCAGAAGCAGCCCCGGACGCCCAGCCTGCAGAGTCCTGCCCCGAGCCTGGGGCTGGGGGAAGGGGTCTCGGCCAGCGCGGGGGAGACCCTGAAGCAGGAGTGTGACTCCCTGGGCCCCCCAATGGCCAGCAGCACCACCACCCCCAAGCTTTCCTCGTCCTCCTCGGGCACCCGAAGCCTGGCGTGGCCCGGCCAGCCCCCCAGAGGCTACAGGAGCCTGGACGTCAGCCTGCCCCCGGTGGTGATCTTATCCAAGGCGGCCTACGGCCTCCTGGGCGCCCCGAAGGATGGCAAGCTGCCGTCCTCCGCCTCCCTGCTGCCCCACGCCGACGTGGCGTGGGTGAGCTCCCTGCGGCCCCGCCTGCACAGGGACACGAGCAGCGAGGAGCAGTCCCTGTACTACCGCCAGTGGACGTCGGCCCGGCAGCACCACGCCGACTACAGCAACCAGCCCGACCCGGCCTCGGGGGCCCCGACCTTCCACCCGCGGCGGCTGCTGCTGACCGGACCCCCACAGGTAGGCGTGGGCCAGGTGATGGGCAGAGGTTGGGACACTGTCCCCAAGAAGTAGAAGAGCCAGGGACCTCTGGAGAGGGGGGTGGATGGGTGGCGCAGGGCCTGGAGGACTCCTTCAGGCCTGGCAGCCGACCAAAGCGTCCAGCTATGAAATCTCTTTTTCTCTTTTCCCTCCCTTCCCTTCCCCTCCTCCCTGACCCGATGAAAAAAACCATTTGCATCAGGTTGGAAAGACTGGCTCCTATTTACAGTTCCTCAGGATCCTCTTCCGCATGCTCATCCGGCTCCTGGAGGTGGATGTGTATGACGAGGAGGAAATCAATACTGGTGAGTTTCGTGGCAAGCACCCCACGGGAGACACTGAAAGAACTGCAGTGGCTCCCACTCCTGAAGTGCCTCTAGCCCCTAACTTGCCTTTATCTCCTGAGTCCATTTATCTCCCCGACTTCAGGAGGCCAGCAACGTGCTGGGCCTTTTTCTTTCTTTAAGGCTTGTTAGGAAAGTTCACCGCTACGATGGTTATAACCAGTGTGAAATTCAGTTTGTAGAGTCCAGCTGTGCGCGGCCGGGGGGGGGGGGGGGGGGGGGGGGGGTGGGGGGGGGGGGGTGGGTACTGGTGTTTCACACTCTAGACACCAGTCCTTGGTTGCCTAGCTAGAGGATAGCCTGTAAACCTGTCACTGGAGGCCTGGGATTACTGTCATGAAATGAAAACCTCTGTGTGCAGAGCTGACCTAGACCCGTTCCCCTCTGCAGTGAGGGGCGGATGGGGCTGGCTGGCCAACGAAGATCCTTTTGAGGACGGTGGTCTAGCCCTGGGTTCCATAGCCCTGGGTCCCATCCTTAGCACCCTTCCCTATCGAAAGGGACTGTGGGGAGGCAGCCAAGGCAACCAGGTGAAGTTCTTCTGAAGGTCCTCAAAGATAGGCCCAACAGGGACTCCCCTTAGCATCTATTAAATTAGTTCTTGGAAATTCCACCTCACTTGCATTGTGAAGATAATACGGTTCTGTTCTCTAACCCACACAAAGGACTGATATAGTTAGTAATTCTATTATGGCTCCAGTCCTGTTTCTACATAGGAATTCATATCTATGATCTCTCTCTCTCTCTCTCTCTCTCACACACACACACACACACATACACACACACACACACACATCTGTATGTAATCTCATCTTCCCACCCCAATTTTTTTTCTTGGGTCAATGCCTGGGCATTGTCTCTTAGCTTTTTTACTCAACTGGTGCCCTCCCTCTAAAGCCACACCTCCATTTCCAGGTTTTGGGTGGTTAATTGGAGATATGATTCTCATCGACTAGCTTCAAAATAGGAATCTCAGACCTTGGCCTCCTGAGTACCCAGCTTCACGTGTCCTTTTGTCCCTGGATAAGCTGTACTACATCCTCAGCCCCACCACAGAGGGGAACTAGAGCTCCAGGACAGCTGGAAAATGCCACAACCCTGAAAGGGGCCTGGTGCCAGAAGGGCAAAGCTCAGGAAAACCAGCTGGAAGCTGCGTCCTGTATTCCTGCCAGCTCTGCCACCGGCTCCTTGGCACCACAGCAGAGCAATGCCCTTGATTTTACCTGCAAATCCTGCCACAGAGGAAGAGACCCTTTCCCTCTCTGTGTCACTCTGGCAGCCTCTGACATAGTCTGATGCACAGGGGAGACTTGGTTTGCTTCTTTTCCTCATTTTGTTTGTTGGTTTGTTGGAGGGGAGTGGCTAATTGGAGATCAGAGTCTCACAGACTTTCCTGACCCGCTCAGACCTCAGCCTCTTGAGTAGCTAGGATTACCGGTGTGAGCTGCTTCTCCCTTATTTAAGTAAGGGCTAACATAAAGCAGCTATGGAAGGATACAAACACACCTTCACTACAACACGCTTGAAATTTTTAACAGAATGCAAACTTCAACTCAGGATGTGAAAATAATGTAAAAAATAATAGCCATACTTCCAGTTTTAGATGTTTTTTTAAAAAAATTCAAAGTGTATTTCTTCCCTTGTTTCTTTAGGCTTAAGCTGCTATTTGATCTTAACATTTAATACCATCTACTGGACACATACTATGTGTTTTAGCACTTGCAATATACCATTCCTAATGCTAATAAACCTGTCACTTTGAGGAGTAAGTTTGCCTACAAGTATGAAGCAGTACCAGGATTCAAGTCCCAGTCTGGGAGCTCATATATATTGGAATGCCTTGGTTGGTAGCTGGTGCCTGAGTAGTAAAAAACAGTATTTTCTTCCTGCTAGCAGGGCTTGAACTCAAGACCTCACACTTTCACTTGGCTTTCTTGCTCATGGCTGTTGTTTCAACACTTGAGTCAGACCTCCAGTCTGGCATTTTGCTAGTTAATTGCAGGTGGAGTCTTAGAGACTTCTGCCCTGAGTAGCTTTGAACCATGATCCTCCAAGCTTCAACCTCCTTATAAGTTAGGATTACAGGTGTGAGCCACTGGTGCACCCAGCTAAAAGGTTCTGGGAGGTGAGGCCTGAGAGGTGTGTTTGGAGTGCCAGGGTGATTGTAATGTGCAGCTGATGGACATCCTAAAATTTCAAGTGTCCACACCTTAAAACCTCATAGCTGGGCTGGGAAGGTGGCTCAGTGGTAGAGCGCTTGCCTTGCATGCATGAGGCCCTGGGTTCGATTCCTCAGCACCACATAAGCGAAAAGAAAAAAAAGCCGGAAGTGGTGCTGTGGCTCAAGTGGTAGAGCGCTAGCCTTGAGCTGAAGAGCTGAGGGACAGCGCCCAGGCCCAGAGTTCAGGCCCCATCACCGGACCCCCCCCCAAAAAAAAAAAACCCACAGCTAAAGCTAAGGATTTAGGTCCTCCAAATTAAAGACAATTTTAAGGGATATTTAGTTGGTCTACAGATGTGGAAGTTTGTGAGTGAGGTCTGAAGAGACTAGCACAGCGTGAGGGCAAATGTTCCCCGCCCCTGGCATAGGTCTGAAGAAACAATTACGGCTGCTCCTGTCCTGGGGAAGAAAGGCTGAGTTTTGAGAAATGGCTGTGTTTGTCATCGGGGCTCTATACTTCAGAAAACTTCTCCTCCTGACAAGGAGGGAGGAAGGGGGGGTCTGTCTGTTCTGCTCACTTTCTTCTTGTCCTAGATCACAGCGAAAGCAGTGATGTGAGCCAGTCTGAGGGAGAGCCCTGGCCTGACCTCGAGAGCTTCAGCAAAATGCCTTTTGATGTCAGCGTGCATGATCCCAAGTACAGTCTGATGAGCCTGGTGTACACGGAGAAGCTGGCAGGGGTGAAACAAGGTCAGTGTAAGAAGAGCCAGGCTTACCTCCCCTGAAGGCCCAAGGGCATGCTGAATCAGGGCAGGAAGCCAGAGGCAGTTCAATCTTCAGCATCTTAATAATTCTCCTGATTTTCTCTCTTATACACATATATGTCATGTTAATTTTTATACCTTGTCAGGGAGTAAATTATAGAATCTTCAGAAAAGTCCTTTTGGGGACTAGGGAACCTTTCTTCCCAGGTATAGGGGCTTTACCTGTGTGTCCTGGAATTACAGTGTTTTGTCCCTGTGTACACAGAAGTAATAAAGGAATGCAAAGTTGAAGAGCCCCGGAAACGAGAAACTGTGTCCATGATGCTGACCAAATACGCGGCCTACAATACTTTTCACCACTGTGAGCAGTGCCACCAGTACATGGACTTCACCCCCGCCTCCCAGGTGCAGCCCCACCTTCCCTCCTGTCGTGCAATGTGTAATGGTGGCGGTAGGCCCTAGTTTCTGGCATGGGAAAAAAAAAGAAGGGATACACTTAACACTGGAATACAAACTACCTTTTTTTTTTTTTTTGTCAGTCGTGGGGCTTGAACTCTGGTTCTGGGCGCTGTCCCTGAGCTCTTCTGCTCAAGGCTAGCGCTCTACCACTTGAGCCACAGCACCACTACGGTGTTTAATTTTTTCTGGTGGTTAATTGGAGATAAGAATTTCAGACTTTTCTGTCCGAGCTGGCTTTGAACTGCAATCCTCAGATCCTGAGTAGCTAGGATTACAGGCGTGAGCCACCAGTGCCTTTTTATGCCCTTTTAAATATCTTTTTATTCTTTTTTTAGAATTTTTTTCTTGAAAGGCTGCTCTGAAATTGGTTCATAATGCTTTACAAGATATAGAAGATTCAAGTGTTCCTGAGTATATAAATCATTGTGTCTAGAACATTTTAGAATTAAAAACCCTGTTCAAAGCTGGGCGTTGGTGACTCATCCCTGTAATCCTAGCTACAGGGACAGTGCCCAGGCCCAGAGTTCAAGCCCCATGACTGACAAAAGAGAGAGAGAGAGAGAAAGTTTGAGTTCCTGAGAGCTTGGGAGTGTCCTAGCACCTTTAAAAATAGGTTAGATTTATATTTGGCTTCAATAGATCAAATGATCTCTCCCCAAAGCCAAAGTTCTGGGCTAATGACTGCTTACTCTCCACTTTCCACTGCAGCCAGCAAAGATAGGACCACTGAGGAATTTTAATGACGTTACTCCTACTATTTTATTCAAAAAGCATTAGCTTTCAAACTCAGTTCCTTTGATCTGACTCATGTAATGCAAAACTGTAGCTCCCCAAGGCATGGTGGGCCCTTGGGAAATGTGTGCCTACGAGGACTGTAAGAATGAGGAACAGACAATGCCAGCAATCTGTACCTCTCCACGCTTGGAAGGACTGTGTAGGAGCCAGATGCTTGGTTCCCACCTAGTTCCCAGTGGCAGCTGCTCAACTTGAATTGATTGCATTCCGAATCATTTGCATGTTGCTGCTGGTAACCAGAGGTCTGATGACCAGGTTGCACTTTTAAACACACATCAGTTTGCCTCCCAATAACAACCAAAACAAGTAGTCTAGAAATCATGTGCTTACATCCCTTCCCTTTTTCTTCTTTGCAAACTTAGATGTCCGACTCCACCCTTCATGCGTTCACATTTTCTTCCTCTATGCTGGGAGAAGAAGTTCAGCTCTATTTCATCATTCCCAAGTCCAAAGAGAGTCATTTTGTCTTCAGCAAGCAGGGCAAACACCTGGAGAGCATGAGGCTGCCTCTGGTTTCAGACAAGGTGGGTGACGTGTCTGGATGGGAGGGCTACCAGGCATCAGTTTATCCAAACTGCTCAGATCTAAAGGTTTTATTTTCCTTCTTGGGTCTCTGTTTTCCTTTCAGCAGAATTTGAATGCAGTCAAGAGCCCTATTTTCACTCCTTCCAGTGGTCGCCACGAGCATGGACTCCTAAATCTTTTCCACGCCATGGAGGGCACCAGCCACCTCCACCTTCTGGTGGTCAAAGAGTATGAGATGCCACTGTACCGCAAGTACTGGCCTAACCACATCATGCTGGTGCTTCCCGGCATGTTCAATAACGCAGGCGTGGGTAAGGGGCTTCCCTGGGGTGTCGGGAAGGGCTGTTCCATTCCTGGGATGAAATTCCTCATGGTGGCTTCTGGAAATTGTCTTGTCCTCCTGAGTTTGATTCCTTGATTCCCCACCCCCACCCCCCACTTTCTGAAATTTTGCACATTTGTGAACTTCTGAAACCTAGTAACTAAGGAAGTTACTGGTCTATTGAGTGTTCTGGAAGAGTTTAGGCTGCATCTCAGGGTAGACTGCAAATATTCTTGGGCAGAGAGGAGGGAAGGTAGTGCTGTACCTGCCTGGAGTGTCCCTCACTTCTAGGAGCTCATGGCAACTTCTAGGGGGCTTCTGCCAATCAGAACACTGCAAGCATCATTACTACTACACCATAGTGAACATGCCTGGCAGAGCCTTTCTTGCTTTTTCCTCAGGATGTTAAAGAGCAATAGGGAACAGGGGTTTTTGAGTGTTTCTAACAGCTGTGGGTGACATAGGCTACAGACAAGAAACCTCTAACAGAAACCAGTGTTTCATCCTGAGCACATCTTGCTCCATAGTTTTGAAGTTTTCCAGTTAACTTCAGTGTCTGAGCTCACTGTTCATTGCATTGTGATTTGTATTTCCTAATGATTAGTAATGTTGAGCATTTTTTTCATGTGCTTTTAAGCTATTTGTACTTCTTCTTTAGAAAACTGCCTTACGGAGTCCTTTGGCCACTTTTTCCACTAGATTACTGCTGTTAAATTAGAGGTCTTTTTATTTCTTAGTTTGCATTAGTTCTACAGGGCAAGGATTCATTATTACCTTTCCACATACTGATTGGCATACACTGTAAATCTTATAAACTCTATCATTCTCTGATCCCCTTTCCAAAACAATTTCAACAGGTTTCATCATTCGTTTTTATGGTTGCAAATAATATATTTTGCAATATACAACCTCCTTTGGCCTGTTAGCCCAACTCAACCCTATTGATCAAAAACTTTCCACAGACTGAATAGTTTTCAGATTTTTCATTTCATTATATTCTACATTTCTTTCATTGATTTTATGTTCATATATTCTAGCAGTGTATTACAAAATTACTCACCTCTTTTTCCATTCCTAAGTAGTCCCTTAGGTTTGATTCATATTGTTTAACATGTTTATAAATGTGCAGACCGATAAGAGTGTTCATTTTTCTAAGAATTCTCATCAGCATGTTTGTTTACTTGATGACTACCAATCTGACTGGAGTAAAAATGAATCTTAGTATGGTTGTGATTTTGCACAGTCTTGATGACTAAGGAACATTTGTTAAATTGCTGAACATTTCTTCATGAATCACAGCCATTTGTTTTGCTTCTTGTGAGAAATATGTCTAGTTTGCCCATTTATTGATTGGATTGTTGTCTTGCTGTTTTTTTATTCATTTTGGATATTAATCCTTTATCTGATGAATAGCTAGCAAAGATTTTTTCCCCCCATTCCATGGCTATCTCTTGGTTCTGGTGATTGTTTCTTTTTCTGTGCAGAAATACTTTGTTATACTGTACTGTCCATTTTCAGACCTGTTCTTGTGTCGGTACCAAACTGTATGCTGCTATGGCACTGTAGTATAACAAATTCTGACATTTCCTCAAGTAGTATTTGTTTTACTTAGAACTGCTTTTATTATTCAAGGTCTTGTGTGCCTGTGTATTAACTTTTGGGTTGATTTCTGTAATTCTGTATGGAATCACATTGGGATGTTGATGGGTATTCCACTGAATTTGTAAATATCTCTTGATAGTATGGCCATTTTCACAATATTAACTCTGCCACTCTATGAGCATGAAATGTCACCTTCTGATGCCTTCAGTTTCTTTGGAGTTTTATAGTTTTCAGGGCAGAGGTCTTTTACTTTCTTGGTTAATACCTAGGTATTTTGAGACCTGTGAATGTTTTTCTTGATTTCATTCTCAGCCTGTTCATGCTGTATAGAAAAGCTGATTTTTGAATATTGCTTTTGTATCCTGCTACCTTTCCAAAGGTACTATCAGTTCTAGAAAATTTAATTTAAATCCTCTCAATTTAGTTTTGATATGCCAACTATACTATATCTAAAACGTACCCATTTCTCCTAGATTTTCCAGCTCATTTGCGCATAGCCTTTTAAGTATTCCCTCATGATCCTTTCTTTGGTATCTGTTGTGACTGTCTCTTCACTAATTTTTATTGATTCTCTTCTTTTGGTCAAATTAGCTAGAGGCTTATCAATCTTATTTTTCAAAGAACCAGCTTTGTTTCATTGTGTGGACCTACAGTTTCTTTTTTTTGGGGGGGTCCGGTTGTGGGGCCTGAACTCTGGGCCTGGGCGCTGTCCCTCAGCTCTTCAGCTCAAGGCTAGTGCTCTACCCCTTGAGCCATAGCGCCACTTCTGGTTTTTTTTTTTTTTATTTTTGCTTATGTGGTGCTGGGGAATCGAACCCAGGGCCTCAGGCATGCAAGGCAAGCGCTCTACCACTGAGCCACCTTCCCAGCCCCTGGACCTACAGTTTCTATTTCACTATTTTCTGCCCTAATCTTTCATTTCTCTCTGCCTATTAGTTACGGATTTGGTTTGTTCCTATTTTTAGTATGTTCAAGTTGCTTCTTTAGATTATTTGAGCACTATTTTTTAAATGTAAGCACTCATAGCTATGAATTTTCATCTCACCACAGCCTTTGCTGTTGCACCAAAAATTCTGCTAGGCTGTGTTTTCCTTTGCATTGAATGGGAACTTCTTAATTTCTCCCTTTATTTCTTCAATGAACCACATATCATTCAACATGTTATTCTGTCTCTGTCTGAATATTTCTGTAGTATATTTTCCTGTTTTTATTAATTCCATTATGTTCAGATAGAATATAAGGAATTGTTTTCTTGTATTTGCTCAGCCTTATTGTATGTTCTAGGATATGATCTCTTTTGGAGAAAGTTCCTTGGCTGCTGGCTCAGAAGAATGTATATTGTGTACCAATTGGGTGAAATACTCTACAGATAAGTCCATTTGGTTTATGGTGTCATTTACTTTCTAAGGTTTCTTTTTTTTTTTGTTTGATCTTCTGGTAGGAATGGAGTATTAAAGTCTCACACTATTATTATGTTGGAGTCTATGATGGCAACCATAATTTTCTCTTTATAGATCACTCCTTTTATTAATATTAAGCAATTTTTGTCTCTTCTGATTTTTAGCTTGCAGTCTATTTTTTTTATCAGCTATAGTATTACAAGTATGCACCACAATACTCTGTGAGTGAATGTTTTCTGAGATGTGTCTCATTTTAAAATTGAATTTTCCTGGCTTCTGGCATTCAGCTTAAGTTTTGTTGTGTACATACGTATTCTAGACAATCCTCTGTTGGTCCAATAGTTTGGAAATACTTTGTCTGATTCTTTAGGCTCTCTCTTAACTAGGTTGTTTCTCTTTTGTGGTGCAAGAGCTTCCCATTTGTCTTTTTATTTCTTGGCCTATATCTTCTTCCTGGTCCTACTATCTAAAACAAACAAACAAAAAAAATCATTGCCTATAAGTTGTTCTCTTTCAAGAAAAGACTGTTAAGACTGTTCCTATTTTTGCAAAGTTATTGGGATTTTGTTAGGGATCCCTAACAACAAAAAGCCTTCCAAACTATAATCATGTATTGTCTTTCATGTATTAGTGTCTTTATCTTCCTTCAGCACCATTCTACACTTTTCACTATACAAATGCTTACCTCCTCCTCAGAGGTTATTCCTTTTGATGTTGTACTGTAATTGAAATTTTTTAATTTCATTTTTTAGATTAACCATTACATGCCTAGAAATGAAGCTGGTGACATTTTTATCTGTGGCATTGCTGAGTCTATTTATTAGTTCCAACAGAGTTCCAGATTTTAGAATTGTCTTCATATATGTTGTCAGGGAACTGAGAAAATCTCCTTTTCCAATTTGGATGACTTTCATTTCTTTCTCTTGCCTAAATTTTCTGGCTAGGACTTCCAGTACTGTTAAGTAGAAGTGATGCAAGCATCTTGTCTTGCTCCTGATCTTAGAGGAGACACTTTTCACCACTATGAGGATGTTAGCTGTGAACCTTTGATATGTGACCCTTATTATGTTGAGAAAGTAAACTATTACACACATACTCTTGAAAGGTAGGTTTTCCTCAGCATTACCCTCAATCTAATGAAAATGTTTTGGGTTCCTCCACAGATTGAATAGTTTTCAGATTTTTTTTCATTTCATTATACTCTATGTTTTGTTTCATTTTAAACTAGCCCACTCATACCTTTTGGCTAATTCCTGATAGCTTATTTTACACAGATACTCCCTAAATACACACCATGTGTTAGGGACCATACAATTCTGTGAAGACATCATCTTCTTACAGGAGAAAAAGCCAAGGCTCAGTAGAGTAAACCTGTTTGGGGTAACAAGGCTAGAAATTGGTGGAATCAGGATCCACACAGGAAGCTTGTCTCCCATCTATTGGCTTACTATATTATTTTTAAAAAAAAAAAAAAAAAGCAGATCTAGGTAAAGAAGGCCACATTGCTAAATCATCTTCAGAGAAGATGCTAACTTCCAGAAGGTATCTAAAGCAGTGAGCACGAGTAGAAGCAGCATTCCTACTCACTGTAGACTGTAGCCCTGGCTACTCCCTGGTGTGGGACATGTGTGGCTGCTTCTAGCACAGAGCTGCTCATTATGCTTTACAGAACATTTATCACATTCCTGTTGAGGTATCCTTTGTTAAGGAAACTAGGTTCTTTTTAGAATACGTTTGGATCACAAAAGATGTTTCTAGTTCATGAGACCTACTCAGGTAAGCTTCTAGCAATGGGCTCCAGGAATCTTTACTGTATTTTTGTAGGTCACAGGGCTTGAGCTCAGGGACTGGGCACTGTCTCTGAGCTTTTGTACTCAAGGTTAATGCTCTACTGCTTTAAGCCACAGCGCCACTTCTGGTTTTCTGGTAAATTGGAGCTAGAATCTCCAGACTTTCCTGCCTGGGATAGCTTTGAACCAAGATCCTCAGATCTGTCTCCTGAGTAACTAAGATTACAGGTGTGAGCCACCAGCACCTGGCCAAGGAACCTTTGTTTTAAACTGACTTCCCCAGTAACTCTTTTATCTGCTGGTCCAGAGACCCACAGCTCAACACTTGGCTCCTGCCTGCATGGTGCCCATGGAATCAGGAAGCCCATGGAGGGAATATGAACTGTTGGAGGGCACTGGCCAAGCCTGAGGGAAGGATATGGAGCTGTGGTTGTGCTGCCTTCCAGGTGCTGCTAGGTTCCTCATTAAGGAGCTGTCATATCACAACCTAGAACTGGAGAGGAACCGCTTGGAGGAGCTGGGAGTCAAACGCCAGTGTGTCTGGCCTTTCATCGTTGTGATGGATGACTCCTGTGTTCTGTGGAACATTCACAGTGTTCAGGAGCAAACCAGGTAGTGATACTTCTGAGCAATTCTGGAATATACACATTGCTAGAGGGGATGGTTGGATGGTTTTCTTGGCATCAGTTATTTGGAAGTAAAAGGGATACAGCATTCCACAGAAAGATCAACCATGAGACCACCTTCACCAACACATTCTGCAATGATTGAGGGATTTTTTTTTTCCTGTTGTGGGTCTTGAACTCTGGGCCTGGGCGCTATCCCTCAGCTCTTCAGCTCAAGGCAAGTGCTCTACCACTTGAGCTACAGCGCCACTTCTAGTTTTCTGGTAGTTTATTGGAGATTAAGAGTCTCATAGACTTTCCTGCCCAGGCTGGCTTTGAACTGTGACCCTCAGATCTCAGCCTCTTGAGTAGCCAGGATTACAGGCATGAACCACCGGTGCCCCGCTCTAGGGATTTTTTAAAACTTAGATATTTAGTGTGCCATGAAACCCTGGACCATTTTTGCATTATGGTGTTCATTAACTATCTGTTGACACTATGAGGCTCTGACATCTGAATCAGGAGACTGGCTTGTGGAATTAGTTCTGCTTTTAAACTGGAAGTTATTTTACCATGATCCAAGTCCTGCACTATGAAATTATGGCTGGGACAAAAGCAGTGGTGGTTCTTCTTCAGCAGTGGTACCCTGGGAGATGAGAATATTTAGATATGTCACATGGTTTGGGGGTAGTCAGAGGCTCTAAAAAGATCAAGAAATACCACACTGCAAACCCTACACCATAGTAGGACCAAAACACTGTGCCACTAAAACACTAGCCACCCCATTCCTGCTCTGTTCAAACATAATTTTCTAGCTTTGTTTCACTGATGATTTGAATCTAGTGGAGTTTTCACATATCCCTTTTATATATAACTACCAGAACTGGCACTTTTGTGCTTGACTTCTGGTTACCTCTTTGGTCATCCTGTTTAAGGCAGAGAAAATAAAAAATCCAGTGGACAAGGTGATAAACCCCAGCCCCAAAAGGCAGCACGAACACTGGGCACTACATACTACTCTGTTTCAGACTAAGACAAAGTAAATCAGTGGATCCCATATTTTGCAGTATTCCTGGGACAGTCTTGGTCCTTCATAATGATCTTGTTTGTTAATAGTTAACATTTAATATAAACTATATATTTTATAGCCAGCCAGTGGAAGCAGGAGTTTCAAGTAAGAATGTGTCCTTGAAGAGTGTCTTGCAGCATATTGAAGCCACACCAAAGATCATCCACTACGCAATCCTGGGAATACAAAAATGGAGCAGCAAGCTGACTTCTCAAAGCCTAAAGACCCCGTTCTCTAGGTGCCATGTGCATGACTTCATTCTCCTCAACATAGACTTGACTCAGAATGTGCAGTATGACTTTAACAGGTAAGTCAAGCCTTGTATATAGGCCATCCTGGACTCAGTACAGACCGTTGCTGCCTATCTATAGCCTCTGCAGTGTTTTTATTTCCTGGGTCTCTGATTCTTTGGAGTTATCAGAGATAGCCAGAGATTAGAAGGACAAAGGTTCCCAGTTCTGTTAATTATATATACTAAAGGAGGTTGTGAAAACTGGTTTCAAGTTCACAGTGTAGGCCCCTTCCCTCACCTTTCCAACTAGACAGGGTCTCACAAGATAACCTCAGGCTAGCTTGAACTTGTGATCTTCTGGTATCAGCCGCCATAATATTAAGATTACAGGTGTGAACTACCATGCCAGGCACTTCCTAGACCGTTAGTAGTAGATGTGATAAGATGCAAAGCACATTTTGGCTATCGTATTCAACAAGAACTAAAATAGACACAAAAACTACTCAATCAAGCCGGGGCGCTGGTGGCTCACGCCTGTAATCCTAGCTACTCAGGAGGCTGAGATCTGAGAATCGCGGTTCAAAGCCAGCACGGGCAGGAGAGACCGTGAGACTCCTATCTCCAATAAACCACCACAAAACCGGAAGTGGCGCTGTAGCTCAAGTGGTAGAACGCTCGCCTTGAGCTAAAGAGCTGAGGGACAGCGCCCAGGCCCAGAGTTCAAGCCCCATGACCGACAAAAAAAAAAACAAACAAAACTGCTCAATCAATCAGTGTGTGGACCCCAAAACATACATAGCAACCCCCCTAATCACCCTCAAGAATGTTCCACCAATGTTAAGACCCAGATGTCTGGATTTTAGGGGAAAAGCAGAAGAGAGGGATGGGCAGCATGGGTATGACGTTAACTCCTAAATAAACTATGTCCACATTCCTGGTAACCCTGAGTCAAGAAATAATGTTAGAGATCATAAAGTCACTTTTGTGTCAGTCCCAACCTGTGGCTCTTACAATAGCTGCTCCTTCCACTTCCATGTTTTAACATCTCCCAGAAAATTCTGTCCTGTAGTAGCCCCAATTTAAAACTGTAGCATCTTGCACTCTTATCAGAATATAAGAATGTACAGTTCTATTTCTGCACAGGAATGTCTTAACTCAGTGGCTTGAGACCAGGCTCATCCCACTTTCTCCTCCTTTAGTGGCTGTGATGCCCAAGTTAGGGGTTTTTCCAGGTGAGTATCAAAGGCTGGCTCCATGAGGAGGTCGCTTCTTTTAGACTCACATAGGCCCCATGTTTTTCTATGCATGGTTGAGAAATGAACAGCAGTCGAAGAAACCTATCATTGTGATTATGGTTTAGGTATTTCTGTGAAGATGTTGACTTTAACCTGAGAACAAACAGTAGTGGTTTGCTCATCTGCCGCTTCAATAACTTCAGTCTCATGAAGAAACACATTCAGGTTGGAGGACAAAGGGACTTTATCATTAAACCAAAGATCATGGTAAGTTTTATCAGCTTGATTGTGCTTTTGAAAATAAGTATAACTTCATATGAACATGTTATTAGATACTACATTAAGGACTATTTGATTAGAAAGTAACCTAAAGGAGTTAATGAAAACTGTGCAGTTTCATTTCTGTCACTCAGAACTCACCGACAGCCAAAACACAGGTTTTGACAATTCAACCATTTGTTTAGACTTAACACTCTAGTTCCAAGATGGCAAACTTTACATTGTGCTATTACTCATGTGATATACATGAGATAAATGACAAAAATCAACATATTAAAAGGTGTTCATTTAGCTCAGAAGTGCTTTTAGCATCGTATCTAAAGGCCCCTAGTTCAATACCACTGCTCCTCTGCTTGCTTAGTCCTTTTGTCAGATTTTTTAAAAGATAGTACAGTATAAAAACCTGTAAAGCTGTACATCAGTGGCTCATGCCTGTAATTCTAGCTGTACTCGGGAGGTTGAGATCTAAGGCTCATGGTTCAAAGCCAGCCTGGGCAGGAAAGTTCATGAGACTCTTATCTCCAATTAACCACCAAAAAACCACGAAGAGATGTGGCTCAAATGGAAGAGGGCCAGCCTTGAACAAAAAGGCTAACGGATAGTGTCCAGGCCCTGAATTCAAGCCCTAGTCTGGCACAACATGAAATAGCACCCCCTGCAACTCATGAGGAGTGACTTCCACATCCAAGGGAGTACTGATAGATCACTTACAGTAGCTAGACTATTTTCTGGAGCTTAGAAATTTTCTGCTGAAATTCCTGCTTTTTAAAAAGTTATTTGAATGGGATGAGATTAACAGCAGCAAGAGTAAGACTTTCTATTGATCTCAAATGCAATGTTTAAAAAAAAATGGGGGGCTGGGAAGGTGGCTTAGTGGTAGAGCGCTTGCCTTGCATTGCCTGAGGCCCTGGGTTCGATTCCTCAGCAACACATAAGCAAAAAGAAAAAGGCTGGAAGTGGTGTTATGGCTCAAGTGGTAGACCGTTAGCCTTGAGCTGAAGAGCTGAGGGACAGCGCCCAGGCCCAGAGTTCAGGCCCCACGACAGGACCCTAAATAAATAAATAAATAAAATGGGCTGGGAATGTGGCCTAGTGGTAGAGTGCTTGCCAGCATGCATGAAGCCCTGGGTTCGATTTCCACATAAACAGGAAAAGCCAGAAGTGGTGCGGTGGCTCATGTGATAGAGTGCTAGCCTTAAGCACAGAGAGGCTCAAGATACAGGCCCTGAGTTCAAGCTTCAGGACTAGCTAAAAAAAAAAAAAGAGCCTACTTTCTCTTCATGCCTTTGCTGAAACATAGGTCAAATATTACTGTAGTTTACTCCTAAAGGGGCTTAGGGTAGGGTATCGGGACCCAAAATGACCAACGTTTGACTATAGCATGTCACTATGCTATTGCCAATGCAGTAGAGTCCCCTTTAGCTGCAACTTTCGTTCAGTCATGGCCTAAAAATATGAATTTCTTGCCTCCCAGGAGACCATATTCAATAATTGTTACAGTACCCTGCTATAATTTTATCTCTTACTGTGCCTAATTTATTTAAGCCATCACCGTGTGTATAAAACAGTAATTTCGAGTATCAACTGTAGATCGCAGAACATAGTCCTCTTAGATAAAGCGGAACTACTGCATGTGAAGATTTTCAGGGTGCGACTGTTATTCTTGGGCATCTCCTGTGATCATCTCTCTTGATTTCAGGTGTCAGAGAGCTTAGCTCCCATCTTGCCCCCGCAGTACATCTGTGCGCCTGACAGTGAACACACACTGCTAGCAGCGCCAGCACAATTTCTCCTGGAGAAGTTCCTGCAGCATGCTTCATATAAACTCTTCCCCAAAGCCATCCATAACTTCAAGAGTCCTGTGCTGGCCATTGACTGCTACCTGAACATTGGACAAGAGGTAAAGATGGGAATGGTAACTCTTATGCTTCCCCATATTCTTCCATTTCCCACTTTCGTTTGATTTAGAAACTCAACTGGTGATAAAAGGAAGCCAGTGTCCTACAAGGCAAAAGGTCACTGAACAAAAGCTGATGGCAACACTGATTTCACCTCTACAGAAAGAGCCAGCAACCACTTACACCTTATCTCAGATAAAAGTGTCTGAGAAGCCCACGCCAATGACCTTAGGCAGAAGCTGCTGTTTCCACTATTCCACTGTTCAGACAATGTGAATTTTCCCATAAGGCTGAGTTCTATCCCTGTGCTGGTGGCTCACACCTGTAGTCCTAATTGAAGGCTGAAACCACAAAGACTGCAGTTCAAGGCCACTGTGGGCACACACAGGGAGCCCTCTTCTCTCTGTCAGTTGTGGGGCTTGAACTCAGGGCCTGGGCGCTGTCCCTCAGCCTCTTTGTGCTCAAGGCTAGTGCTCTACCACTTGAGCCACAACAAAAAACAAAAAACCCTAAAAATAAAATAGAACCAAAAAAAATCTGATGTAACAATACCCTTTAATAGTTATCTATGAAAAAAAAAAGCCAATTCCATTCCTCAGAGTCAAAAGCTCCCGATATTGGACAACACAGTCACTCTATTAACATCTACTTAACATTTACTATTATATGCTCATCAATAAGATTTCCTAAATACATTTAAGCTTTCCTAAATACCTTTTTGTACTTTTTTTAAGTGTACACTCTTAGGTGTAGGAGCTCCCTTAGTTAATATCATAAATCCTTTATGAAAAATGTCAGCTACCTTAAAAAACTTGTCATACTAAAGAGAGGTATAAACTTGAATAACCAATCCCTTTCACGCTAAAGAAGACTTGGCTGCTTTACCTTACAGCATAAATACAGAGAAAGATACTGATTAATGTGCAGATTGCTTTCTGCCTTTTTTATACCTATTTCTGCTTGATGCTTTCAGGTGGCCATATGCTACATCAGCTCCAGACCCCACTCCAGCAATGTCAATTGTGAAGGGGTATTTTTCAGTGGACTCCTTTTGTACCTCTGTGACTCTTTTGTAGGTGCTGATCTTCTTAAGAAATTTAAGTTCCTAAAAGGTAAATTTAGTATCTGGATTGTGTATATTAATGGTTCTCAATAGAAAAATCAGAGTTGTACCAGGTACTATCCTGACAGAAGGATCCTTGAGGTCAGTTCAAGGAGGAGGGAGGGAGAGAAGGAGAGGGACAGGGAGGGACAGGGAGGGACAGGGAGGGAGGGAGGGAATGTATGTGTATAGTACTGCTAAGACAGTGGGTTCTCATCTGGAGATGGGGAATGTTCTGCCTCCTAGAACAGATGTGGTAAAAGCTAGCATATAGTAGACAGCGGTTCACAGAATAACTCCCCCTTCCAACTATACAACCAACCATTACCCAGTTTGAGAAACTGTTCTAGAGGAACACCTAACATTAGTTTCAGCACTGGTTATGTATGACATGAGGGAGCTATTGAGATCCCTCACTTTCTCCGTACTCTTAAAATCTTGTAAACCTATGAGATAAATTAAAATGCCCATTTCTAACAAGTTATTTACCCACTGTATGTTGGTTCTCAGAAGTGTTTAGGAATATATTGGGAGTTTTTTGGTCATTTAATCCCTGATCCTAAGCCCCATTTTTGCCTCGCTTTCTGAAGGTGCTACCCTGTGTGTCATCTGCCAAGACCGAAGCTCCTTACGCCAAACAATTGTCCGCTTAGAGCTAGAGGATGAGTGGCAGTTCCGTCTCCGGGATGAGTTTCAAACTGCTAACAGCAGTGATGACAAGCCTCTTTACTTTCTTACTGGACGCCATGTATGAATGTTTGAAGAGACCAAAAATAACAAAGGGATGCCTAGGTGGGATGGGAGTGAAACAATTATTGGGGATTTCTTTTCTTCAAAGTACAATCACTGTGGAGCAAAGTGCAACATACTTGTCTATTCTCCAAAGAACTCCTCAGATCTGTCTTTGGGATCATTCTTCAGTTCCAATTACAGGATCTTAAGTTCAGGTGAACTGCATAGTAGGTAGTTATGCAATTACTTAGGATGGGAGCCCAAGGAGGATAGACTTTGGAGAACAAACAGTTTGCATGATTTTGTTTCTACTATATTATGTTAAAGGAAAAGCTGTCAGCATTAGGTAGCTTGAATGTTGTTAAATGAGACTCACACTATTGGTGTGGAACTAATTGAAGATAAACGTTAGAGGCCTGACCCTCAGTTTCTCTTCAGATCTGTACTGTGGTACAGATATCTGTACTTTGGTACAGGTATTTCTCAGGGGTATGAAATGATAAAATGTAGAAGATATTTGTATTTAAAAAAACTAGTAGTTTTGTCTTTCTCTGTGCAGTGTTAGTTTAAGATTTATAATCTTATATGTATTGAAACTTTTGGCAAAATTTCCACAGGAGTTAAAAGTTTACTATTTAAACCGAACAAACAAATCAGTAAATGCAGAGCAGGCATTGTGCGCATTTATGAAGCTTCTCAGCTTAGTCCCTATGGATTTCCCATTCTTTAAAATTTCTCCAGTCTTTAAGCACATCATGTCTATATGGCACAGTGATTATTCTTGTGCAAATAATGGAGTAAGTAGTTGAGCCAATTAAGCCACACTTGCAGTAAACCTGTACCTACCCTGTTTGGGTTGAAAGAAAGCAGTGGGCATCAGTAGTGTCAGGCTGGGATTCTGTTATGGAGTTAAATCAGCTCATTTCTTTCAGGAACTCAAACAAAATTTCCTCTAAAAGACACACTGAATATAAGCTGCCTTACAATGAGAACATGGAGACTGCTGAAACAGTCATAGAAAGAGGAGGAACTGTTTTTCTTAGTTCTCCCAGCCACTTTTTTTGCGAGGAATGAGGAAGATTCTGTGAAGTCTTTTTGACTCACTAAAATCTACGGGTGGTATTTTACTAACATCAATAGGAGGCATAAGTTTCTATGGATTTCTCACCAAATAATAAAAAACAGGGTTTCAGAAAGTATTTTACAAGTCTATTGGAAGTTTACACTGAGATTACAAGTTCATCACTTATTTTCAGATTACTCTCATTAGTCCACATGTGTATCACTTTATCCCCACTTAAAATGGTCACTTTTACTTGAATCTATTTTAGGCCCCAGAGGGCCTATCTAAGCCTGCATTTACTTAGAACAAATAGTGTTAACCTATCAGCTTTATTGTCTTGTGATAACACGGAGTTTACAGCTAGTGAGATGATGAAATGTATTAGACTGAAACTGGTTTGCAAATCTCTTGGTTTTAATATAGCTACTTGTAATGCTTTAAGTGTATCTTGAAATGAACAATTCCTTTTAGCCCCATTTTTAAACTGTCCTTCAAAGAAGACCTGCCTTATGTATGATTTAAAAAATATTGCTTTAGTACAAACTTTTGGCAAAGAGGTATGTTCTGAGGCAATTTTTTTTTAGAATGAATGTATTTCACTTCCTCCTGTCTGGTTAAAAGGGCCTGGTGCAGATGATATGTCAAGAAACCCACTGTCTGTGCAATATTTCAATAACACTACATAGGGCAAATAAAATACTTGAAATAATTCTAAAACAATTTTTGTACCTGGGGAAGATGGCCTTATGACTGAAAATCTAAAGAACATTTTTAAAGCTAGATGAAAGTACTCAAATGATTATGGCTTGTAAATACTTCTCAATTCAACAGTGTAGAAGAAAAATACCGGAATAAAGCCAAAGACTATCATCCAACAATGAAGAAATTTCAACTGATCTGCCTGCCTTCCCTGCCTCCCCTCCCTGCCTGTTTTACTAAGTCTGGATCTTTTAAAAATATCTTCTCAGTATAATTCCTTCAGGAATGTCCTCTTAAGGATGAAATTGCACAAGTTCAGGACACCATGACTTCTTAATGCTTGTCTTGGGAGTGTTCAGTTTTATGCTTTTTCCTTAAGATGCTGAGGTAAGGCAAATGGATTCACTCAGCCACACAAACTTACCTTCAGGCCTGCTGGACCTCGGCATCTATGACAGCTCACACAGGTTAATACTGAATGTAAACTAAAAATTGCAAGGATCATTGTAGTGAATCAGTTTGGGCTGTAATTTATGCAACGGCTTCTTATGACTTAGAAAAGGGGCACCTTGTTCCTTTACTACTGTAAAATTTTCTTAACCAAAATTTGGTGAATTTCACCAGTCTACCTCACATTTTGTTTTTATTCTATAAGTTGTGTCTACAGTATGTTTTATCCTTTCATTTAATTTGGTGAATGTATTAAAATTCTCTCCCATTCCCCACCCCCAAAAGTTTGTTTTCTTTAAACTTATTTTCTTTATGGAAGAAAAATGAGCTCCCTGACTCTACCAATGTCCAAAACAGGATGGAAGTCTCCATATCATAAGTGGTTGCAAAATCCTCTACTTCAGCAAAACTAACTGCCAAGGAAAAAGATTTGTTGAATGACATGTTAAATAGCTACAGATTCAAATGTACATTTCCATGAAACTACAGCTCACAGACCTAGAAATGAGGTACTGTGAATGTTTTTTTTTTTTTTTGGGGGGGGGGGGGTCCAGTCGTGGGGCCTGAACTCTGGGCCTGGGTGCTGTCCCTCAGCTCTTCAGCTCAAGGCTAGCGCTCTACCACTTGAGCCACAGCGCCACTTCCAGCTTTTTTCTTTTTGCTTATGTGATACTGAGGAATCGAACCCAGGGCCTCAGGCATGCAAGGCAAGCGCTCTACCACTGAGCCACCTTCCCAGCCCTGTGAATGTTTTTTAGTACATCTCCAACCTTTTATTTTACACAAGGCAACTTTTCCTGACTTTGGAATCCTCAGGAACAGAACTTTGGATTACTAAAACTATGTAGATATGATACAAGGTGCTATTTAATCTCATCCCACTTAATTTAAGAAAATGGCCATGCACCAGTGGCTAATGCCTATATTCCTACCTATATAGACTCCCTAAGCCAGCCTGGGCAAAGAAAGGTTACAGAACTTCAAGATGCTTTGGTGTTGCATACCTGTTATCTCACATACAACAGGAAGCATACAATGCTAGCTTATGCCTGCTTAGCTACTCAGGAGGCTAAGACCTAGAGGCTTATGATTCAAAGCTGGCCAGGCAGAAAAGTTAATATATCTCCAATTAACTACTAAAATGCTGAACTGGAAGCATTGCTCAAGTGATAGAACACCCACCATAAGCAAGCAAGCTAAAGGACAGATACTGAGTTCAAGTCCTAGTACCAACATAAACAAGAAATCAGATGGCTCACTCCTATAATCCTAGATACTCAGGAGGCTGAATGTGGACGGACTGCAGTTCAAAAGCAGCCTGGGCAGAAAAGTTCATAACCCTATCTCCAAATAACCTGGGAAAGAACTGGGCTGGAGGTATAGCTCAAGTGGAAGAGTACGAGGCTACCAAGCTTGAGGCCCTGAGTTCAAACCCTAGTAGTGCTATACACCCACCCCATTTTTTTTTTAAATGGAGCAAACAAGACTGAAGGAATGGCTCAAAGGTTAGAGGCCCTGCCTAGCAAGCACAAGGCCTTGAGCTCAAACTTGAATATCACCAAAGTAAGTAACCCTTGTCCTAGACATGTGCCTGTTGGATCTCTCTCTATATATAGAGTAGTGAAAGAATTGAATTTGAAGAAACCATGAGAATACAGACCAAAGACCTTGGCTGTCACTTCAATAATGATAGGACAGACTGAGGAGAAGCAGAGACTGCCAGCATTCTACTGTTCCAAGCAGCAACCTTGGAAAAAAAATAACATAACTGGTGGCCAAACCTTTACATTCAACTACGTGCCCCTGGAACAACCTCCAGGAACAAACATTCCTGGCGTTACAAACATGGAGACTAGATCTTAAGCTTCCTTGGTTCTAGAACATTACTATAACACTGAGGCCCTGCCATCACTGAAAAGCCATGATAAAGATGGTTTCAAAAAGGCCTTTGAAAGCAAAGAAAATCATTCACAGAATCAGTTTACTGGGCTCTTTACTGTCTAGAGCTGAGCATCTACATTAATGACACCAACACAGGGTAAGTTATAATAAAGAAAAAGTGTCCAGGCACCAGCAGCTCACACCTATAATCCTAGCTACTCAGGAGACTGAGATCTGAGGGTCACAGTTTGACAACAGCCTAGAAAGTCTATGAGTCTTTTATCTTCAATTAAACACCAAAAAGAAGCCATAAGTGGAGCTGTGGCTCAAGTGGTAGAGCACTAGTCCTGAACACATGAAATTCAGGGATGGTGCCCAGGCCTGAGCTCAAGCCACAGGACCAGTGTGTGTATGCAACCACATACAAAAGAAAAACATGTTTACTGACAACTTCCACAAGTAGTCTAATTTTTTTGTTTGTTTTTACTAAAAGAGTAATGGGGACAAGGGAGGCTGAAGGAGACAAGAGACAAAAGAGTGTATCCCTTTTTCTGCCAAAAAATTCAGGAGTCATGACAAAGAAAGAAGACATGCCTGTGTGTCACTACTCTTAAGAATCACCTGAGCAATATTAACCTTAAGGGACTAAGGCTGGGCAGGAATATGCTGTGTTCCCATCCAACAGTCTGAGACTTCCTTGCTGGGCAAAGTTAGCAAGCTCAACTAAAAATCACTGTCAGTTGTACTCACTGGCTATCTTTATAAGAGTCACGCTTCTATGAGATATACCAAATTCAATCTTACATCTTATAAACTGATAATTCTTGCTAAAGAAACTAACAGTTGTGTATCCACACAGATAAGAGCAGAACACCTCAAATGACAGGTTCCTACAATGTGTATCTGCTAGATTACTTTTAAGACCAACTATTGAGGGTGCTAATAAAAACTGTCAACATCTTTATGTAACTAGAAATTATAGAATCACCCTTTCTGAAGCTTGACGAAGACACATTCTACTTCCTGTTACACTGCTGCCTCCACCAGGCCACAGATTCAGCTCTTTCTCTAATGTCCTCTTTTGTCTTCACTTGTGATGTGACTGCCTTGACTATTCTTTGATTTGTCTTTTCTTTTTTCAAGTTTTAACTAGTGTGCATTAATTGTACAAAGGGGCCTCATTGTGATATTTCGTATATACATGCCTATAATTTATTTTGGTCAAATTCACCCCCCTTATTATTCTTTCTTACCTCCTCCCTCACTTGAACCAGGGTTTCCCAAGTGCAAGGATTACAGGTGGGCCACTATATCCTGCTATTCTTTGATTTTTAAAACTCTTTCCTTGCTTTCTATTACCCTCTTCAGACTTTCTTACCTTGCTTCATGCCTTCTCTGGTCTCTTTGGACATGCTTAAACAATGGTATTCCTCACAGATCTATCATAATTCTCCTTTTACATAGTCCAGGATGATCTCTTCTAAACCTTCAAAGAACTAAACCCATAAATTTGCTCAGTTTAAATCTCCTGAACTCCAGACCCCCATATTCAATCATACACTAGGATAAATATTTCCATTTAGAGGTGCTAAAACTGAACTTACCCTTTCCCATCAAATTCTCCAAACCCACCTCCTCTGTATTCCCATCTCAATCCATCAACCTACTGTATTATCTCAAACCAAAATTTACCCTACATTCTTTGCCATGATCCTCCTCTGGTCAGCTACAAACTTCTATCATTTCTTTTTTTTTTTTTGGTCCGGTCGTGGGGCCTGAACTCTGGGCCTGGGCGCTGTCCCTCAGCTCTTCAGCTCAAGGCTAGCGCTCTACCACTTGAGCCACAGCGCCACTTCTGGCTTTTTTCTTATGTGGTGCTAAGGAATCGAACCCAGGGCCTCAGGCATGCAAAGCAGGCGCTCTACCACTGAGCCACCTTCCTAGTCCCTTCTATCAATTCTTAAATTCTGTCTTTGCAATGTGTGTCCATCTCCCTATTTCATCCTTGGTGTTTCATTATTATCTACTACTAATTCTGTTCTCTTAATTATCTTTTAAATTTCAGTTTCCTCTATTATAAGCCTTTCTTCATAAAGTTGTCATAATTAAATAATGCAGCCTAAATACTAAGTCAGATGTAGCAAACATCCAATGCTAGATACGAACGACTATTATTACTAATATCTTTTTTTTTGGGGGGGTCCAGTTGTGGGGCCTGAACTCTGGGCCTGGGTGCTGTCCCTCAGCTCTTCAGCTCAAGGCTAGCACTCTACCACTTGAGCCACAGCGCCACTTCCGGCTTTTTTCTTTTTGCTTATGTGGTACTGAGGAATCAAACCCAGGGCCTCAGGCATGCAAGGCAAGTGCTTTACCATTGAGCCACCTTCCCAGCCCCTATTACTAATTTCTTAAAAGAACTATCTAGATTATAAAATTTAAGTGGCTATTTTCAACATTAACTTGAAAGTACCATATTATCCATGTAATACTTTTTTTTTTTTTTTTTTTTGTCAGTCATGGGGCCTGAATCCTGGGCCTGAGCGCTGTCCCTTAGCTCTTCAGCTGAAGAGCTCTACCACTTGAGCCACAACACCACTTCTGGCTTTTTCTGCCATGTGGTGCTGAGGAATCGAACCCAAGGACCTCATTCATGTAAGGCAAGCACTCTAACACTGAGCCACCTTCCCAGCCCCTAATACTAACTTTTAAAGAAACCAATCAATACATATCCTTCTCTACCTCCAAATCTCCTTAAAATCAACTGGTGCAAAAAAAAAAAAAAAAATCAACTGGTGCTTGTCTATGTAGTATATATTACTCATGTGCAAATGAGACCTGTATTACAAGCTCAGTGTTACCTTAACGTTCACATTGTTCTTCAGAGTGAAATACTTATACCCCTTGCCCTTTCTACCCAAGCAGAACAGTCTTACACCATCCTATAAATAATAAAAGCCCCTCTTTACAGAAATATAAAACATATACCAAACTCTTAATTTAAGGTCCTAAAGTAAGATATGATTGTTTCAATTCATACAGATAATCTATGTGAAAACACAGTGGTACTTCACTCTTGGGCTGTAGCCCTTTATTTCTTTCAAAGATGAAGTACCAATTTACTCAAGTATCAGAAAGAACTTTGCCTTTTGGAGAGAAAATTTGGCTAAGTTGCTGCAAACTACTAAGAACTACTTTTACAAAATCAGTGTTTTAACCATATTTCGGTCTCATACCTAAGAAACTCCCTGAAAAACACATAAATAACAACACAACATTATCTTAGTACATTTATCACTTAGAAAAGGCTATTTTATTATTTTATTCCACATTATGTACAGGTCATAGAAGGCCACAGCAGTTTTTCAACATATAAACCCTTTAAAAGTAGAG